CTGTGAGACGTGGCGATTATAAGAAACTGAAGGTCAAAAGGCAGTGGTGGCACACACCTTTAATCCCAGCACTCAGAGACAGGCACATCCCTTGAGTTTGAGGCTAGCCAAGGCTACACAGAATGTTTGGAATGACAGAGAGATCGAAGTGTCAAATAAACACTTAATTTTTACTTCAAAACCAATGGTCCACCTGGTAAATGAAAAGACTACGTTAAAAAGAAAAACAAAGGATTGATTGGTAAAGGGTAAAAGAGTTAAAGACAAGCATGGCCCAGTGGCCATGATCATTCATTCCTTTTAGTGGAGCCTTGGAATTCAAGTTGCAAAAACTGAGTGCTGAGGAGAAACACAAGTCTCTGGATGTGGGGGAGTAAGCAGGACACAAAGTGCTTTGCCAAAGGTCCTTAAGGTTGGCTTTGCAGTATGCCAACCAGAATACTTTTTACTGCAGGCCCAGATGCAATGTGTGCATGAACCATCGGGAAAGCAATGAGACTCCCCAGCCTGCAGGAAAGGTTCACACTGATTTTGGAAAGGGATTCATTGTGGCAGGAACAATGACATACAAAGACTTTACAAAGGAAGTTTATGAGTGCTCCCCTGAATCCATCCTGCAAAGCCTCTTCCAGGTCTCTCTCTGGCTCTTGAGTGCTTCCTTTGTGATGGGTGGGAGTGCAGGGATAGGCCAGTGAATGAACACCGTGTTCGCAGGCATGCTGCTCCTTGTTTTTATCTCCATGTGCACTGACTGCATTGCTCGCCAAGGGCGACCCGGTTCACAGGATAGACAAATACGGAGATTGCAGGCAGAAGTAGAAAAACAAAAAATTAGAAAAGAAGGAAACTAGCAGAATTTGCTGGTCAGTCACCAAGGGGGAAAAAAGGGAGAAAGACAAGAGGAACTAAAGAATAACTATATAGAGCTGTCAGCGGTGGGAAAGAAAGTCATTTTTTCCATTGGCTTTTGTTTGCTGCCTTAATGGGAATGTTTAATTCCATATTTGATGATAGAGAGATAGCAAAATTCCCCTTCACTCCTTTCTTACATCTAAGGCTGTCTCATCAAAACCTGGGAGATGACGTCACAGACTGCGCTTCCATCTTCCTGTGTATTCTCTATGCTGTCAGTTTGACAGAACATCCAGAAGATTGTTGACCTTGTCCCCTCATGAGCTGCCACCAAGCAAGCTGGCGGATTTCTTGCTCCCCACCCCCTTCTGAGAGGTCCCCTTATTTATTTATTTAGGTTTTTCAGGGCAGGGTTTCTCTGTGTAGCTTTGAAACCTGTCCTGGAACTGGCTCTGTAGACCAGCTGGACTTGAACTCACAGAGGTTCACCTGCCTCTGCCTCCAGCGTGCTGGGATTAAAAGTGTGTGCCACCACCACCCAGTGGGATTTTTTTTTTTTTTTTAATTAAGGTTTCTGAAATTGGAATGGATGAAGTTGGGAATGGGAATCTTCTACAAACAAATTATTTTTATTTGTCTTAAAATTATAAAATATTTTTTACCTTCAATGAAATTGAGTTACTGTATACAAACAGCTTTGTCACGTGATTAAGATCCTACTCCAAGTTGTAGAAGCTTTTCAAGAATCATGTCACTGTCATGATACTTCGTTAATTCCACCAGACACATTTGAGAGTGAAGATTATGTGGCTTGTTCCTTGTTTACAGTTATGTATGTTTTACAGTGCACCAGATGGCTATACTCAAAGCATTTGACAAAGCTAGGGAAAAAGGCAAAAAACTAACAACAACAACAACAACAAAACCCCATAAGGAAGAAGCATCTGTGAAAGAGTGGTACAGTTGCGTTTTCTGACATAGGATTAAATATGACATGGCATTGCACAGTTGTTTTTTTTGGGGGGGAGGGCGTAGTGAGACAGGGTTTCTCTGTGTAGCCCTGGTTGTCCTGGTACTCACTCTGTAGATCAGGCTGGCCTTGAACTTACAGAATCCACCTGCCTTTAGTTTTTTGATTTTGTTTGTTTGTTTTGGGTACTGGGGCCTTGTGCATGCTAGGCAAGTACTACTAGACTATACTCCCAGTTTCCCTGCACAGAACATCTTTAAATTTAGCCACAATTTAAAGTATATGGGAAGCATTCAAGAGGCTAGTAAAAGTAGGAGGAGTGTTAGGAAACCCAGGCCAGCCTGGGCAACATAGCAAAACTCATTTTACAAACAAAAAGTTAAGATTAATGTATTGGAAGATGTGCAGTTATATGCAAATGCTGTGCCATTTTATAAAAGACATCTAGAGATCTTGAGCCAACCAATCCAAGAATACAGAGGAACAATTGTTGTCTCTGGCAAATTGGCAGCTGGAACCCAACGCTAAATGAGATACAGATTTCATCTCTTTGTCATTTTGGTCTTCTCTAGTTCATCTGGAGGCACATAATATCTGGTTGTCTGTTCTTATTACCTACTACTGTGAAACACATTATCCTAAAACAAAAGCTAGTTTACGCAGGACTCCTTGGCTTATGATCATGCTCACTGAGATACCCATCTAGTGATTAGGCTAGTTTGGAAGTTTTCAGACACATTCTAAGACATGAGTAGAAAGGCCTAGCTTAGCCAGGCCCCCTTGTTCTCCATGAGGTCTCAGGGCTTTTCTGAGGTTCCCCACTAGGCAAGTAGTTGAGATTTTCCATGAGGCAATTGGTTCTCAGAGTAATGCTGAGAAATTTGGCAGAAATTCGAAAGCTGCCCTTGACCTAACTTTTGAAGTCCCACATCAGTTCTGCTGTACCCTGTCAGTTACACAAATTACTTAAGGCTAGACCTTATTAAAGGAGAGGGAAATAGATTTCGTCTTTAATCTAGAAATAGCATTGAATCATAGCTCTCTTTTTCCTCATTCATTTTTGTTTGTTTTTTTTTTCAAGGCTGGGTTTCTCTGTGTAGCCCTGGCTGTCCTGTAACTCACTCTATAGACAAGTCTGGCCTTGAGCTCACACAGATCCACCTACTTCTGCCTCCTAAATGCTGGGATTAAAGGCTTGCACAACTACCACCTGGCATTTCCCGTTCATTTTTGGTAATGTACTCTGTTGCCACTCAGTGCTAAATCCATTGTTTTTGGTATAATGGTCTACATTGACTATGCGTTTAAGAATTTTAGTTACTAGAGTCCTTCTATTAAGGGACCCTTCTCTCTTTTCCCATGTGCCATCATAGCCAGCTTTGAACTTGGTTCTGTGCATAGAGCTCAGGTCCTCATGCTGCACTTCACTGAAAGTGCCATCTCCCTAGCCCTCTATTTCTATTTTTTTCCCCCTCTTTTGTTTGGTGGCAGGAGGGTGCTGGGGATTGTGACACTCACCACTGGGCCACACGCCTGGTTCTTATCCGAAGTGCTTCTGTGTTACATCTGTGTTTTCTTCTCTTCTAAGTTTTGGATTGACAAGACATAGAGGGTAGTAGAATTTAAATAGTTCATTTTTAGTTGCTTTACTCCGTGTTAACTTTTAGTAGCCTTAGACTAACAGTATGCCAAGACTACTACTGTCAGGGCACATATGGGGACAGTTAATGTTTATTAACTTATTTACTGGGTTGAGGAGCAAATCCAGGCCCTCGCACAGTCAAGTATACATAAAGTGGCAGATGTTTAGGTACATTTCAAAAGTTATTGGACATTGTGTCCTAATCCAAAGCTAAAATTAATTTAATGTCTTCTAAAATTTAACTCCTCAGCAACTCAAGCAGCAGTTTTTAAAAATTAAACATTGTGATACAGTACTATCCAAGGTGGGAAAATACTTTGAAAATAATTGTCTTTGTTTTCTTTAATTAAACTCTAATGTTTCTATAAGAGCAGAAGACTTCATATGTATAGTAAAAACACAATCCATGCCAGAATAATCTGAAGTCTTGGTGAGGTGCTGTAGGCTGCACTCATTGGCACTGGGCAGCAGGAAGGTTCCCTTCACTTAGTGCTGTGTGCTCAGGACAAAGGCTGCAGTGCAGGAGATGCTCACTTGGTAGAGTGCTTGCCGAGCCTGCACAAGGCCCTGGCTCAATCTACAGCACTACTTAAACTGGGCATAGTGTTGCATACCTGTAATTCCAATTTGTCAGTAGCTAGAGACAGGATTGGGTTATCCTCCACTGCATAACTTTGGATATATGTGCCTGCCTCAGAAAAAAAAACAATCAATAAATAAATAAAAAATAGAAAGCCTTCAAAATTGAAACTGATTCCTTTTTTTTTTTTCTTTTCATTATATTGTTGCTGGTCTCTTATGAAGGAGCAGTTTGCATAATTGGATTAAAATTTGTCAATCATTAGTCAGTTGTATAGTGTTTGCTGCATGCTTTTTCTCCCAGAGTTCTTTAAATAGAACTCTCTTCTAATTATGACTAGCTGTTAGTGATCATATTTGTTTGTTTGGTTCTTTTTTTTTAATCATTTCTATAGCCAAGTTTTTTTTAATTGATTTAGTAGCATTGTCAAACTCTCATATAAAAGCATATCAAAATAAATATGTGAAAATTTCACTTGGACCAAGATATGTTTCCTCTTGTTTTATGAGGTACTAAAGCTTAAAAAGTATGTCCAATAAGATCAATATGGAATATATTTTTTATTTATAGATACATTAAAAAGTTTTCAGATTCAAGTCTCAGAGTGAAACAAAAAACAAGTAAGGAAAGAAACATTCAAGTTAAATGCAGGGTTAGAAGCCTTATAATACTGTTTTAGTGTAATAAAAATTTCTAGGACATTTTTCTTTATAACCTCTGTATAGAATTGGTTATTCTAATCTTAAAGATTTTGTCTTTTCGTTCAGTTGGTTAGGCCATTAGGTCATACTAGAATAAATCAGTCTTAGTGAATAGTTTTGTTGAAGAGGCCCTACAGACTGAGGTTAATTTGTCAAATCTTTCTTCCATTATATTTAGCCTTACTATATATGTTGAAATTATGACTTTAAAAATTATTTATAAAAAGTATTAAGATATCTTTGATTTACTTTCAGGTGCATGCATGGGAGATTTCTGATCAGTTGTTACAGATCCGACAGGATGTGGAATCATGCTATTTTGCTGCTCAGACCATGAAAATGAAGATTCAGACCTCATTTTATGAGCTCCCCACAGACTCTCATGCTTCTTTAAGGGACTCATTGCTAACTCACATTCAAAACTTGAAAGACTTGTCACCTGTCATTGTAACACAGGTAATCCTTTAATCGCTAAGGAAATTTGTAAGGTCATTTGGATACATCACAATTCATTTTGGTTGTCATTGATAGGCTATGTAAAGTAATGTTAACTTTATTGCTATATTGTCACAACTGTAGCGGAATAAAAAATTGAATCTTTTGTATTAATCTTTGTGTTTATTAGGCTTCAAACATTAAATATTGGAAGTGGGGAGGTGAGTGAATATTTCCTCTAGCATGTGCTCCCTGCTGTTAAAATTGGAGATGATTTAAAAAATCAGTACTATTCTGAGTTAGAGGTCTATGTACTTTTTTGACCATTTAAAGAATCTTTTTTTTGGAAGGATTGGCAGCAAAAAGTCTTATGAATGAAACAATGAACGTTTTGGCTTTCCCCTGTAGCCAGGAAAATACATTAGAAAGAAAAGTATGTACATGTGTTCTTTGCCTAACATAGAAGTGCTCTTGAAGAGGAGGCTTCAAGATGAGAATGGCAGTCCGTTACTGGAGGACAGAGCTACAGCTCTAACTTTGTCAGTAGCTTTGGTCTTTTGGCAAACTATAGTTTATCTGTCCATGAAGTCCTGTGGTATTGCCAAATAAAAGTAAGTGCTGGCCGGGTAGTGGTGGCACACACCTGTGATCCCCGTGCTTGGGAAGCAGAGGCAGGCGAATCTCTGAGTTTAAGGCCAACCTGGTCTACAAAGACAGTTCCAGGACAGCAAGAGCTGTTACACAGAGAAAACCTGTCTTGGGTTAAGAGAGAGAGAGAGAGAGAGAGAGAGAGAGAGAGAGAGAGAGAGAGAGAGAGAGAGAGAGAGAGAGAGAAGTAAGTATTAATATATTGTAAGGAAATCTGAATCAATATTTATAAACATATCTTGATGTTTTTGAGTATAGTGGTTTAAACATGTAATTGTAGCACTTGGGAGGTAGAGAGAGGAGAATCAGGAGTTCAAGATCAGCCTCTGCTACATGGTGGGTTTGAGGCCAGTCTGAGCTAGATGAAGTGCTGTCTCACAAACAACAGTGAAAAAAATATATATTCTATCTATCAAGTTTGCTTTCTTAATTCTTTGTGTTTTGTCTTTAATTTTTAAGGATGATTTTTAATCCAAGCAGTTTGTGGCTAACTAGATGGTTAGGTAGACAGACATTCATGGGAAAGGAGGGCAGGGGATGCTAGTCTTCACTGTCATGTTTGAAAGAAATAGAGTCTCTGCGGTTAGCATTGATGATTTCAGTTTATCTGGTCTGTTCATTTATTTAATCTCTCTTCCCATTCAGCTGGCTTTAGCAATAGCAGACCTTGCCCTACAGATGCCTTCTTGGAAGGGATGTGTACAAACGTTGGTAGAAAAGTAAGTAATTTGTCATTTGTATCAACATTTGTATCCATATTATCATTTGGATTACCATTAATCCACACAGAGAAATCTGTTCTAGTAACTAGACATTTGATTATTTCCTAAATTGTGGACATCAAATTACATTTTGTTTTGTTCCTTCAAGACAGGGTTTCTTTCTGTAACAGTCCTGACTATCCTGGAACTCTCAATGTAGATAGACCAGGCTGGCCTTGAACTCAGAGATCTGCTTGCCTCTGCCTCCCAGGTGCTGTGATTAAAGGCATGCACCACCACCACCACCAGGCATATATATATATATATATATATATATATATATATATATATATATTAAAATTTTTTACTTATGTATAGGTATGTGTATCTGCTTGTGAGTATGTGTACATGAGTGCAAATGCCCACAGATGAATCCTGTCCTCTGGAGCTGGAGTTACAGCTGGTTGTGAGATACCTGATATGCATGCTGGGAACCGAATTTCAGTCCTCTGAAGAGCACCAAGTGCCATTTCTGCATTCCCAAATGGCATAGTTTTTATTTCTCTTCAAAAATTATTTATTTTGTTTGTTTTTAACTAAAACTGAGGGCTAGAGAGGTGGCTAGATGATTAAGACCACATACTGCTCTTCCCGAGGACCTGAGTTGAATTCTCAGCATGGAATCAGGCAATTTACAACTGTTTGTAATCCCAGCTCCAGGGGGATCTGACACCTATGACCTCTGTGCACTTTTTTTTTTGTTTGTTTGTTTGTTTGTTTGTTTTTGTTATTTGAGACAGGGTTTCTCTATATAAACAACCTTAGGTGTCCTGGATTTGTAGACCAGGCTAACATTGAATTGACAAAGACCAGCCTGCCTCTGCCTTCCAGCTGCTGGGACTAATGTGCACCACCACATACAGCAAAAAATAAATCTTTAAAAAAAAAAAAAAAAAAAAAAAGCTAACTTACCTTCCTTTCTACCTCCATGTCTATCCTCCCTTCCTTCTCTATCTTCCTATTTTTTCCTTAGCCATGTAACAAGTTAGAGGCCAGCATGGAATGCAGGAAACCTTGTCTTAATAAAAACAAAGATTTTATTGGTCTACAGAGTGAGTTCTAGCCAAGTCTACACAGAGAAACCCTGTCTTGGAAAAAAAAAAAAAAACAAGATTATATTTTTTTTCTTCTTTAAATTTTACTTAGAGTCAGGGTTTCTCTGTGGAGCCTTGGCTGCTCTGGAAATCATTCTATGGACCAGAGCTGGCCTTGAACTCACAGAGATCCACCTGCCTCTGCTTCCTGAGTGCTGGGATTAAAGGAGGGAACCCCCCCTCCCAGCTCTTTCCCTCTTAATGTTGGGAATGCTGCTTTTGTTGTGGGCCATTCTGATGGGTGGCGTTGTGATCATGTACCTGCTGGCTCTCAGTGACTTGTGATACATCTTTCCTCCTTTCTTTCCAGATATAGCAATGATGTAACATCTTTGCCTTTTTTGCTGGAGATCCTTACAGTGTTACCTGAAGAAGTACACAGTCGTTCCTTGCGAATTGGAGCCAACAGGCGCACAGAAATTATAGAAGACTTGGCCTTCTATTCTAGTACAGTAGTATCTTTGTTGGTGAGTTTGAAACATTCATTTATTGACAAAGGGCAGAAATTATGGTGTCGTTTTTTGTGACCTGGTTGCAATGGTATGAAGCAGTTTTTTTTTTTTTTTGCAGATCTGGCAGTGATGCTTACTGCTTTGGCAGTTAACAAAACATAATCAAAATACTTTTAAACTCTGTATTTCTTGAGCTTCTTTATAATGCTGTGAGGGTGTTATCTCTGTTTCGTGAATGCAAATAGACTTAGTGTTATTCAAGTATTAACTTAGTACTTGAATTCAATTCTTATGATATATAAAAGCTAGTGCCTCTTGATAAAGGACCACACTAAAGGAAGTGCATCTAAACTTTAGGAAAAAGATAAAGACAAATTAACATTTTGATAAAAAAAAAAAAAAAAAGGAAGACTTTACTTGGCCATTGTACAGTATTATAATTATGTATTAGTTAATGCCAGAATTGAAATTTTTAGTAGTTTAGACTGAAGTGGGTGAAATTGTTGTATATGAGCTTTATTGAAAACAGCTGGGTTCTTTAGGTTGGTGTTATCTATGTGTATTACTTTAGACTGTCTCGGTGGAACTAAGTAGTTTTCAGAGACTGTATGACCTGCAAAGCCTGAAATGCTTATTGTCTGGGCCTTAGCTTAAACTGTCTGCTGGTTTCTGCACTAGATTGGGATAAATTAATTACTTAGCCTATCTTATTTTTAGGTCTTTCTCTCTCTCCCCCCTCCCCTCAAATCAGTGCTGGAGATTGCACCCAAGATCTCCTACATGAGGCAACAGTCTATCATAGAACTGTAGTCCTGGGCTACAGCCCATTATAGATCTCTGCTGTCCAGCTTTATTTTCTCAGTAGCTATTTTTCAAGGATTTGATTTAGAACTTCTGCATTACCATGCAGCAAACAAAACTTGGAGTTATATTCAGTTTGGTGTTAAAACCTGTTTGGAAAATAAAAATCTTTAAATGTTTTTGTCTGGCCACTCATCTATTTATTTATTTTGGGTTTTTTTTTTTTTTTTTTTTTTTCTAAACAGGGCTTCTCTGTGTAGCTTTGTAGACCAGGCTGGCCTCGAACTCAGAGATCCGCCTGCCTCTGTCTCCTGAGTGCTGGGATTAATGGTGTGTGCCACCACCACCCAGTAGCCACTTATTTGTTTGTTTGTTTGTTTGTTTATATTTTTTAAAAAGAAATTACCGATTTAGAACATTAGAAAAAAAATAAAGCAATTATATTGAAATAACTTGGAAATCCTATCCTGTATCGGTTTTACTTTGTGGTGTTGGGGATTGAACTCAGGGCCTCATGTGTGCTAGAAGTGCTCTACCACTGAACTGCAATCACAATTCTCTTTTGTATGTTTTGTTTTCAATTTCTTAAAATTACATGTATTTATTGTGGAAGGGGAGCACACATACCTGTGTACCCTAGGATGTGTGTAGAGGTCAGGGGTCAGTTTCCCCAGGTTAGTTTTCTCCTACTGTGTGGGTTCCAGGGGTCAGACCAAGTCTAAGACCAAGACATCAGTCTTAGAGCGTGCATTGTTTTTGTTTTTGTTTTTGTTTTTCAAGACAAGGTTTCTCTGTAACAGCTCTGGTTCTCCTGAAAGTTGCTCTGTGGACCAGCCTGACCTTAAACTTACAGAGATCCCCCTGCTTCTGCCTGTGGGATTAAAGGAGTGTGCCACCACCACCTGGCTTATAGTATGCATCTTTAAGACACCAAGCAAGCCATTTTTTTTTAAAGGGTCTCATGCATCCTAAGTTGGCCTCAAACTTGCTTCATATCAAGTTTGATAACTTCATAGCTGAAGATGACCTGAACTTGTAATCTGTGATCCCCTCTCTTTTCTGCCTGCCTTTCAAATGCAGTATTACAGGTGTGAGGTGCCCGTGGAAGTCACAAGATGACACTTGTTTCCCTTGGAGCTAGAATTCATAGGCCACTCAATGTGGGTTCTGGTATCTGCACTCTGGTTCTTTGCAAGAACAGCAAGTGCTCTTGGCCTCAATCTTGAGCATTTTCTTCAGCCCCCAGCCTTTAGGTTTGTTTGTGAGATGTGGTTTTATGGAGCCATGGACTCAAGTAGCTTCCTGCTTTAGCTTCCTGAGTAGTTGAGACTGCAGGTCACCGGTGCACCGACTGCTGTTGAGCCTTTATCGTATGCCCTTTGGATGTATATCTATCTGTGTGATTGTAGTTTACTGTTTCAGTCATCTGCCTTTGGTTTTTCACTTTAGAAAGTTTCCTATGTAATGTCACTTTTTTAGACCACATTCACATTCTCCTAGTTGGTTCTAAACTATTTTAAAACAGAGTTCACAAACAGTATCCATTTTATGGCCATGTGTTGTTTTAGGCTAGTAGTCATAGTTCCCTTCCTCTTGGTCTTTCCACAAATAGGATTTGTTTTAGAGAATGTCTTTAGCATTTATGATTGCTTTCTTTCTTCCTTCCTTCCTTTTTTTTCTTTCTTTCTTTTTTTGATTGCTTTGTAGTCTAATTATTTCTAGTTGGAAGGTCTTTCTGAAACAGCCCTACTGAGTAAAGGATTCCTCAAAAGAAATTAAGCCTAATGCCTTAGGGCATTCATTGTAATGTAATGAATTTTCTACTGTATTAATAATGCTACTACTTATATTTTGTCCTTAGGATAATTGAGAAAAGTCACTTGGATCCTTTTCTTCAGGGTATAATTTGTTTTCCTTCAGCATGCTGATAGAGATAAATTAAGAGGCTTGATGGATTTGAGAAAAAAATTTCAAGGTTTTATATTATATTCATCTCATAGCTATTTCATGCTGCATCTTACCCAATATTATGAAGTATGATTGATTCTTCATTGGTAATGTTAGAATTGCCCCTGGATTAGGGTGATGACATCTGGTTCTCTTTGTGTATCTAGTGTGCTTTCTTTTTTGCACTGTAATTTGTGTGAAGGTAGCTTATTTTATGAAAACCAGTTTTTAAGAAATGTATTTGTTTTTGAGACAGGATCTCACTGTATATCTCTGGCTGGCTTCAGATCCCCTGAACCTGACGTTATGGATAGTTGTGAGCTGCCATGTGGGTGCTGGGAATAGAATCAGGGTTCTCTGAAAGAACAGCCAATGCTCCCAACCACTGAGCCATCTCTCCAGCCTGGCTGAAGCAAGACTTGTGACATTTGAGTCCTTGCTGTGCCATACTAAGCAAGATAATTAACTCTTCTGTCTCTGTTTTCACTGTATATTGGAAGTAATAGTATCTGTTTCATTGTGTGGAGACTGCATTCAGTAAATGTGATGGCTGGTCACTTATTAGTTATGTGCTCCTTCTTTGGCTAAAATGCGTTGCCCATGAAGAAATAGAAAAGTATAAGCAAGGGCTGCAGAGATGGCTCAGCCGTTAAAGGCTCACAACCATAAATATAAGCAAGCGTATTTACATGCTTGTATTAGCCTTTCTGCCTTCTGCTTGCCATCTTAACAGGGAAGAAGTTGATTTTAAAAATAAATGTTTTTGCCGAGTGTGACAGCACACACCTGTAATCCTAACACTTAGGAAGCTAACGCAGAGAGGATAATGAGTTTGAGTCCGGCCTGGGCCAAATAGAAGATAATGTCTCAAAAAAGAAAAGGAGGGAGGGAGGGAGGGAGGGAAGGAAGGAAAGGAAGGAAGGATGGATTGTCTTGTGTTGCTTGGAAGGCACTTACAGAAACAATCACCAGGGCTGCGGATGGATATGCTATTTCTTGCTAGACCATTTACGAAGTATGCACAAGTCCCTGGGCTTAACCCCCAGCACCAGAGGAACGCGAAACCATCATCTATAGGATGTAGTAGTGCACGCTCTTAATTCCAGCGCTCCAGAGCAAAGGCAGGGACAGCCAGATTTCTGTGAGTATCAGGCTAGCCTGATCTACATAGCCAGTTAGACAGAAAACGGACAGACATCAAAAGCATCAGTGCAGATTGTATTTTAGGTGAAGCTTTGGGTCTGGAGGATTTTTCTATGTAGTTTATATCTTCAGTGTAAACATAAATATCAGAATTTTGTCTTTAGACTGTGTTTGCCACAAGCTTGAAATCATTTTTAAAAACTGGTATCAGTTGGTTACAGGCAATGAATTCCAAGGCATTACTCTGTGACAGTGGAAACAATCCCAGGAGTCCAACTGTCAAACTTTAGATGTGGTGTGTAATACATTATGAGATGTAACCCTTTTCTCTCCTTGCTTCTGAACCTCAGGGCATTTGTGATGCCTTTAGCCCACTGCCTGTGAGCTGCTTGAAACATTCTTATAGAAGAAGTTGCATTATGCTTCACTTTGGCTAAATTATAGCATGAAATGCTCAGATAAAGGGAGTGGTTTCAGTCTGATTTGTGTTATGTCTTTTATATAAACCTTCCTTTTTTTCAGAGTACTGGCAATTGAATCTAAGATCCCTTATGTATACTAAGCTAGTGTTCTGCCACTAAGTTATTTCCTATATTTCCAGATTGCCCCCTAAAAAATACAACTTGCTTTAGGAAGCTTTTTAAAAAGATTTATTTTTATAAATAAGTCTTATGGATTGCCTGCATTTATTTCTGTGCACCATGTGCATGACTGGTGGGTGCCCTTTGAGGCTAGAAGACGTGTTAGATTCTGCAGGACTGGAGTTACAGGTGATTGTGAGCCACTGTGTAGGTGCTGGGAATTGACCTTGGGTCCTCTACAAGGGCAGCAAATGCTCTTAATTAGTTGCTGAACCGTTTTTCCAGAAACCCTCTCCCTGACATTTATTTATTTTATGTGTGTGTCTCAAGTGCCATGCACACATGTGGAGATCAGAGATAGCATGCAGGACTTGGTTTTCTCCCTCCACTATGTAGGTTCCAGGGTTTGAACTCAGGCCATCATGTTAGGTGAAAAGCAACTTTACCTACTAAGCCATCTCACCACCTCTTTTTGAGAGAGGATGTCTCATTGATTCAGTTAGACTAGCTGATCCAGCCAGCAAGCCCCAGGGATCCTCCTGTCTCCCCTTTCCCAGCACCGGGATACAGATGTGTACTGCCTCATACCTGGCTACAGTAAGTGCTGGGCATCTAAACTCAAGTCATGCTTAGGCAGCAAGCACTTTACTATGAACTTAGCAGACTCCCCAGAACCTTAGGTACCGGTTTTTATATGGGGAATAATTGGTTTATTTTTAAAATAGTTGTATTGATGAGAGTTTGTAAGTAGGAACTAAGAACCTTAATTATTTTTAATGTCTCTTTTGGGATCTTTAACCTCTCTGTACCTCAGTTTCCCCATTAAAAAGAGAAGATGATATATACTGTAGCATTTTTTTTCAGGACTTAGAACAGTGGCACTTATAAAGAAATTCGTGACTGCTTGTTGATACTGTCATTATAGGCAGTATATAATATTGATTAAAGTATAGAGATTGATCTTTTTCTTAAACTCTATCTTCTATTTAGATGACATGTGTAGAAAAAGCAGGGACTGATGAGAAGATGCTTATGAAGGTCTTCCGCTGTTTGGGAAGCTGGTTTAACTTGGGAGTTTTGGACAGTAACTTCATGGCTAATAATAAGTTATTAGCACTCCTTTTTGAAGTTTTGGTAAGTAAAAGAGTGTAATTGCCATTGCCATTTAATTACCAGTTTTCTGGACATCTCAGTGTTTGTTTGAGAGAAAAATTTGTGCGCGTCTTAAGAATAACATAAGAAGGAGTTGAGCTTGATGGCACATGCCTGTAATCTCACTACATGAGAGGTAAAGGCAGACGGATTAGAAAGCACAGGTCACGTTAGCTGAATAGCAAACTTGAAGCAAACCTGGGCTAAATAACACCCTGTCTGAGGGAAGGAGAAAAGCCCACTAAGGTGCCATGTAATGGAGCATGTGCAGAAGAAAGCATGAGCTGTGATTGAAATGACCCATAAAGGCAAGGGTTTCGGTCTGCTGGACATGGACACCATTGAGTTTCTAACAGTTATCCCAGACCTGCTTTTTGAAAGCACCGGGATTTTTTTCATCTATTTATGTTGAGTATATGTGTGCTTCCTGTATGAAGGTGTGCATATGCCACAGCACCCATGTCGATGTTGGAGCCCTCTGTATAGGTCCTTCCATCTGGTTTTAAGGCACCATCTCTTCCGATGTTTACTGCTGCATTGCATTTTCTGCGACAGCTGGCCTGTAAGGTTCCTGGGGATTCTCCTGTGCCTGACTCCCATCTGCCATAGGAGTGCTCTCAGACAATTTCCAGAGCTGAACTCAGGCTCTCACTCAGGCTTGTGTGGTTGACACTTCCACCCCCTGAGCCATCCACCTCCTTTTCCTAATAGAATGTCTCTAGTGTTGCTACTTTAAAAAGCAAGGCTGGGGAAAAAAGCTGGCGTTGATGGCTTATACACACCTTTAATCCCAGCACTTGGGAGGCAGGGGCAGGTGAATGTCTGAGATCAGCCTGCTCTACAGAGCGAGTTCCAGGATAGCCAGTACTATTACAGAGAAACCCTGTCTTGAAAAACCAAAATAAATAAATAAAATATTTTTAAAAATAGGCAAGATGGGATGATTTGTATCTGTTAGCTCTCCTAACTTAAGTAGCTCTTATTATTAAAGAGATTCCAAGTGTGTTGTCATTGTTATTAGAGAAAGATTTAACAGTGATGGCTTCACTAAATTTGCAGACACTCTTAAATGTATCAGTGAATCAGAGTCCTCCAGCTTCCCTCCTTGTACTTTTGTTACTGTTTTGAGACAATCTCAACTAAGTAGTAGGCTGGCTTACAGATAGATAGCTGTCAGTGTGGCCCAGGTCATCTTCAAATCAAGATCCCCTTCTTTGCTGTCACTGCTAGGTGCTGGCTAGGACTGCAGCTGTGCCGCGCTGTGAAGTTCTTATTCTTTCGTATAAGTTGTGTCTTAGATTTGTTCCCCAGTTATGATGCTTAGATTTCCCTTTACTATGCTGTTTGGGTTAGTTGTTTATTTTTTGAACTTCCTTAAGTAATTTCCAAAGAAAATGTACAAAGAGAATAGAGGTTTTGAATGTCTAAGGAATATTGTTATTGTTTCAAGATGTTCTATCTTTGAACTCATGGAGTAGCCAAGGATGAACTTACACCCCTGATCTTTTGCCTCCATTGCCAAGTGCTAGAATTAAAGGCACCACAACTTTTAAAATTACATTTAAAATAATTATTTACTGTATTTGTGCAAATGTCAGAAGACAACTTACAGAGGAGTTGTTTGTTCCATTATATGGGTCTCAGGGATCAAACTGAAGTCTCTAGGTTTGGCAAATGCCTTTGCCTACAGAGCCATTTTACCAGCTCCAACACTTTTTTTTAAAGCCAGGGTCTTACAGTCAGAACTAGCTTGGAACTCACTCTATCCCAAGTTGATCTTGAATTTTGTAGTAGTCCTCTTGCCTCATCCTCCCTAAGTGCTTGAATTGTAAGTGTACCCTATGATATTTAACAGTAAATAATAACTTTTTATTTTTGATTGACACATGGGTAGGTGTAGTTTTAAACTGTGTTCTTATATACTAGCATGCACCATTGTGAGTGAGAAATTGGGAAAATTTGCCATTTCTGTGTTATCTTGCTTAACGTTGGTATGTAATGGGCCTTTTGGCCTTGTTGAGCCCTTTCATTTTAAGTAGTACTTAAAAAGAGAATGGATCTGGAATCTCCAATGTCATCAGAAACATGGCATTCCCTATGGAAGAAAAATAGTATAAACAGAAACATAGGGATAATCTTGTAACTGCCAAGCATGATGGCTCTCACTTGTGATCCCAGTACTCTGGAGGCTGAGAGAGACAGAATGCTGTGTTTCTAAGAAAGCTTGGGCTGCAAAATGATTGTCAGTTTTAAAAAAGCAGAAGAAAGCTGGTGAGGTGGTATGACACCTTTTCATTGCAATACTTTGGGTCTATGTGAGTTTGAGGCCAACTTGGTGTATATAGTGAGTTCCAGGCCAGCCAAGGTTCCACCATGAGACCCTATTGTGGTTGGCATCCCTCAAAAAAAAAAAAAAAAAAAAGAAAAAAAAAGAAGCAGCAGCAGCCAAAGTAAATAAAAGGAAAACAATTCATGTAAGTCTGATTGATGGATAAAGAAACTCATCTTCTTGACATGCCTGGAAGTAGAAATAAGATAAGGAAGATATTGTCTTGACGAGATCTACAACTTAGGGGTTGTTCATAGTAAATCTCAGCTAGGGAGATAGAGGGGCACATTGGTGCATTTCTGTGGTCCTAGAACATGAGGGCAGAGTCTGCATGTTGACATTAAGACCAGTGTGGACCACATGACATCCTGTCTCATAAAACAAACAAAAAACAATTTTTCAGAGGAAGGTTATAATTGTTTTCCTTGGAACTACAATGATTCTAATTTCTGCTTCTGTATACCTTCTGTCTTTCAGCAACAGGATAAGACTTCATCTAATCTACATGAAGCTGCTTCAGACTGTGTGTGCTCAGCTCTCTATGCTATTGAAAATGTGGAGACCAACTTGCCATTGGCCATGCAGCTTTTTCAGGGGGTCCTGACATTGGAGACTGCCTATCATATGGCTGTGGCACGTGAAGATTTAGACAAGTGAGTAATTATTGAAGATTGGATCCCAGGGTTACCTCCAATCTGGTTGTTTTCTTGAATCTTTTTTATAATTCATGCATTGGTTTTTGATTCTCTGTGACTTTTTGAATGTGCTGTCAATGGTGTTTACCTGCGTCTAGAGTAGCCACTTGGACTCAGGAGTGAAGGGTACCGCCAGTTCTTGATTGTACTTGTGTTTTACACTTAACAGTGTGAAAACTATAAGAAATAGGGATAAACTTTAAAATATCTAGTTTCGGTGCTGTAGAGTTGGCTCAGCAGTTAAGAATAGGTTATTTTCCTGCAGACGACTTGACTTTGGTTCTTAGCATCCAAGTCTGGCTCCTCACTACTGCCTGTAACTCCAGCTCCAGGGAATCTAATGTTCTCTTCTGTATTCCATGAGCACTTGCATTCATACATGATTCATACATGCACACCCATACAGAGATACAATTTAGTGGAGCTCAAGCTCCCTAGCAAGCAAGTGCTCTTAACAACTGAGCCATTGCTCCAGCACTCTGATTTGGAATTTGCATTTAAAAAAAAAATATATATATATATATCTCAATCATTATAATTATAATGAGAATATGAATTGACTTACCATTGTATGCTTATCTGTATAGATGTGAGCAACCTAAGAAAGGCATTGCCACAGAGACTACCATGCCTGTAGTGAGTGTTTACCGAGTGGCGCTCAGGAGAAGAGACCTTTGTTCACTTGACTCTGCTTATGTAAAGTCCTGATTCTTGACTTGGTATTCTCATTCCACTTCTACAGAGTTCTGAATTACTGCCGTATCTTCACTGAACTGTGTGAAACTTTCCTGGAAAAAATTGTTTGTACTCCAGGCCAAGGTCTGGGAGACCTTCGAACTTTGGAACTGCTTCTTATTTGTGCAGGCCACCCTCAGTATGAGGTAGTATCTATACCGTGTTAAGGCTGCTGTTCTCCGCTTCAGGAATTATCGTCTTGTTTAACTAATGTAATGTGGGACTTGTGTCTGATTGGAAATTTTTTCAATTTCATTATTTGTATGCGGGCTGGGGTGCTGCACACATGCTCTGTCTGGTGTGAATGTGAAACAAGGCCGTGTTGTACATCAGTTCTCTCCTCCTTCCACCCTGATATAGGTTCCAGGGGTCGAAGTACCTTCACCCAGTGAGCCGTCCGGGGTCCATGCTTGGGATATTTTTAAGAATTATGTTTGGGTTCCCTATTTCTTTTCTGGTTGTCAAGGTTTTCAGAAGGAAAATTACCTCTCCACTATGCATCTTTTCCAGTTCCCTTATTTTTTTTTTTTTTTTTTTTTTTTTTAGAACTTTACAGCTAAAACAACAATGAAAACCCACATAGTTATTAGTCACTTTCTGAGTACCAAATATAACCAACTTAAAGAGAGAAGTTTGGTTGATTGGTTGGTTGGTTGGTTAGTTTGGTTTGGTTTGGTGTTTCGAGACAGGGTTTCTCTGTATTGCTTTGTAGCCTGTCCTGGAACTAATGCTGTATACTAGGCTGACCTTGAACTCACAGAGATCCTCTGCCTCTGCCCTCTGAGTGCTGGGATCAAAGGCTTGCGGCCACCAATGCCCAGCCCTGTTTGTTGGTTTGTTTTTCCAAGCTCACAGAGTTTGGGATGTTTTTTGTTTTTATCCATTGGACCCAGGGGCAGAGGAGCGCTTTTACCTCAAGCTGGCATCATATGCAAGAGAGGTAACAGTGAGAGTCAGGATCCCAAAACTCCCTCTAAGAAGTCTCCCAGTGACCCCCTTCCTCCTGACTCCAGCCCCTCATCCCTTCCTCCTGACTCCCCCCCCCCCCCCCCCCCCCCCCCCCCCCCCCCCCATCCCTCCTCCTGACCCCTCATCCCTTCCTCCTGACTCCCTCATCCCTTCCTCCTGACTCCAGCCCCTCATCCCTTCCTCCTGACTCCCTCATCCCTTCCTCCTGACTCCAGCCCCTCATCCCTTCCTCCTGACTCCCTCATCCCTTCCTCCTGACTCCAGCCCCTCATCCCTTCCTCCTGACTCCCTCATCCCTTCCTCCTGACTCCCTCATCCCTTCCTCCTGACTCCAGCCTCCTCATCCCTTCCTCCTGACTCCCTCATCCCTTCCTCCTGACTCCAGCCTCCTCATCCCTTCCTCCTGACTCCAGCCCCTCAGGGTTCACCCCTCCTAGTAGCACCACAGCCTCCCACACATATGAACCTGTGGGCATCCCTGATAACAGTTCCTGATAACTCCAAAAGCCTTCATAGCATTAGGAAAGATGTGAGAGGCTTAAAAGTTTCCTTCTTACCCACGCATGGTGGTGTGTGCCTTTAATCCTAGCACTCAGAAAGCAAAGGCAGGAGAATCCTCGTGTATTGGAGGCTAGCTAGTCTACCTAGTGAGTTTCATTTAATTTAAAAAAAAAAAAAAAAATCCTTTAAAGGCCTTTATACGCTGGAAGTGATGGTGCATACCTATAATGCCTGTAATCCCAACACTTGGAGGCTAAGACAAAGAATCATGAGTTTGAGGCTAACATGGGCTATGTTATGAGCACCAGGTTAGCCTGGGCTACATGGATGCTGTATTTATGAGATGCTTCACGCTCCCTTGCCCTCCTTACTCCCTTGGTGGTGCTGAGGGTCAGTCTCAGGGCCTCGCCCATGTTAGGTAAGTTGGTACCACCCATCAACCAGCCAGCCAGCCCTTTCATTTGCTTTGGTTCTTTGTTTTTAGACTGGGTGTGTATCCCTGGCTGGCAGACTGGCCTGATAAGGATCCTGTCTCCATCTCCCAGGTGTTAGTAGGCATGCGCTACTGTACCCACTTTTATTTCCTAGGTTTTAGGGCTGGAGAGATGTCTCAGTGGTTAAGAGCACATACTGCTCTTGAGTGGCCTGAGTTTAGTCTCTAGCACCCACATGTGGTTTACAACCACCTGTATCACACCTGCACTCGTGTGCACTTATTTCTCTCTGTACCCTTTACATAACTAAAACAATAAAAACCTAAATCATGTTTCCTTTAAAGAAACGCTTTTGGGTTGGGCATCGTTTCATTTTGGACAGCTTTCCTTTGGGTCTTCAGTTGACAGGAACAACAGCAGGCCTCTCGTGCTTGCTCTTAACGCCTGTGTCCTCACCCTTGTCTTCTGCCACAAGCAGATGCTATTTACTTGTCTACAGATCTCCTGAGGGTTTCTAGATTGGGTGAAATGCAGAGCAGTGTAGCCCTTTGCAATAGTAGTCGCTTCCGAAATAGCATCGTCTGGAAAGGTTAGCTGTGACTGAAATCCCAGTCTATTTCTATCATCTTTCATGTTCATGGAAACAGCCAAATGAGGGCTGGACATGGTGTATATATTCCTATAATCCCTGCACTTGGGAGGTGGAGGCAGGCGATAGGAAGTTCAGTCATCCTCAGCTGCTTATTGAGTTTAAAGCTGGCCTTGCCTATATGAATCAACCCCCTTGCCTCAAAACACGGGAGGAGAATGAGTTTAAAAATCAGTTATGTTAAGGGAATTACAGTTAGCTCTCCTGGGGAAAAAAATCTTCTGATATCAAAATTTTAGAAAAACTGCTCTAGGAGAATTGCATGTCTTTGTTTTCTTTTAATCTAATGTGCTTTGGAAAAGTTTTCTCAATTATAAATAACGTAAAGCCAGAGATCTAAGAGATGTAATTTGGGAAGATATTTAGGAGGTAACATAACAAACCTGTACCACAGAAAAGGTGGTTTCCTAACTGCATATACATTTGTCAAATATGTATCTTCTTTGTTTTATGGTAAGTAGTAATGAAACTATTTTTTCCTCTGTTCTTTTCCTGCACTAATAAACATCAACTTTCTTACCTAACAGGTAGTAGAAATTTCCTTTAACTTTTGGTATCGACTAGGAGAACATTTGTACAAAACCAATGATGAGGTTATTCATAGCATCTTCAAAGCATACATTCAGAGACTGCTTCATGCCTTGGCTCGACACTGCCAGTTGGAGCCAGACCATGTAAGTACCCTTCTGTACTATAAATCTTCTCCATCTTTTGGTTCCAACTTGAAAAACAAACAAAAATAAGTAAAAATGTAAAATCTTCAAGTTTTTTTCACTTTAGCTTACATTGAAGAAGTCACTATTAGTATAATTAGAATTAGACCTATGTAGGCAAGTTGTTCCTGCTGGGCCAGTAATTGTTTATGTAGGAATTTTCTATAAATGATGTTATAGAAGAAGAAAGCTAATTTTTTTAAACAAAGCATTGTGTGTGTACGTGCGTGCGTGCGTGTGTGCGTGCATGCACACGTGTAGGCACACATGAGTTCAAAATTATTAACTATGTTTAATAACTTGATGAACCTCTATGCAGCAATTAAAAATGATAACTTCTGCAATCCTAATTAGTATGATAAGCAATAAAATTCAGAATGTTGAATTGCTTGCTGTTCATTTGGGCTTTTTTGTGTTCTTGTAGTGCCAGGGACCAACCCAGCTTCTCATCAGTCTAACCAGGTGCTTATGCTGAGCTACATTCGGTGTCCTTGGTGGTTTCTGTGGTTTTGTTGTTTTGCTTTGCTTTGAGACAGGGTCCACTGTGTGGTACTGGGTGACCTAGCACTTATTATTTATACCAAGCTGGCTCCCAACCTGCCTCTGCCTTCTAAGCACTGGAATCAAAGGCGTGCGCCACCACACCTGGCATCATCGTTGGTGTTTTGGAAACACTGTATTGATAGGGACTTGGGACCAGTTTTTATATGTCAATTCCTCCCGTCAGCCTCCTGATTGCTGGGATTGCAGATATATACCACCACATAGGGTTTATGCTGTGTTTTTCATAGTGTAGCACATATGGTTAGGTGAAAACTAATATAAAAAAGTGAAAAAATTGTGTAAGGATGTTGAGAATTTTTTTCCCTCCATATGTGTGTACATTTTTTTTATTTACATTACCTATAATAACGTGATAATTTGCTTCAAAGAAAATATACTAGACACCAATTGGGAATCTCTTCCACTGCCTTCTTTCATAATGCCTCTACACGTTTGCCTCCGCTAGTTCACCTTCTGGGTGGATGTTGTAGTTTTAGCCCAGGCCCTGGAGCACATTTAATTGCTTATGATGAAATCTGACATGGGCGTCAATGAATTTTTCTAATCTGAAGATCTCTAGTTGTAACCACAGTTGCTTGGATGATCCCACATGAGCTGCTCTGGCCATTGGATTCTATGCCCTGGGCCTGTTTTGTGGTGCCATTTCCCTTGTACATATTTTTACACTTGAAAGTTTATAGTAATTTAGAATTTTATATGTTTTTACACCTGGAAAGCCATCATTTCCTCATTATTTCTCCATTTTAGTTTCTTTATCCTAAAACAAGGAGATTGAACTTGATGAGTAGTGTTCAATTGTTCTAAGGGTGTTTCTAGATGTTCATAGCTCAAGATTTTCTTAGTGTCTTTAACCTCTCAAAATTAATTGGTAACTCTTATTTGGAAAGTGCATTGTGATGGGAAAGATGTAAAGTCTAAAATTTTCTTTGTGAAGTTATTATGATAATGGTTGTTTTTTGTTGTTTTGTTTAAGATTTTGAAGAAGAAAAAAAAAACCTTAGATTTGTTCAGTATTAAAGAGCTGACCTCTAGATAGGCAATTTTTACTGTTTCTTTCTAATCCCTTCTCACCTCATCATTTCTTTAAAAAACAAACAAACAAACAAGATGTGTAATTGAAAATACAAAATAGACATACATAGTCACATATATAAACTGAATTTTTTCTCATAGTAAAGCAGAGGATAGACTGTTGACTCAACATACCTAACACTTGAGGAAACCTTTTGTTTTGTGTCATCGCCTTGTGGTTTCCCACTTTAGTTCATTGGCATTTGACTACTGGATGGCATTTTCTTCTCTATGGATTTTACTCAGGGCATTGACACCTCCAGTGTGTTTTAAACAGATGGCGCATGGTTTTGAATTTCAGGAGGGAGTTCCTGAAGAGACTGATGACTTTGGGGAGTTTCGAATGCGAGTGTCAGACCTGGTGAAGGACCTGATCTTCTTGATTGGTTCTATGGAATGTTTTGCTCAGGTAAGTCCATTTGGAGATTCTTGAGCCAGTTTTACTGGTCACATTGATTATGTTTATCTTGCTTCTATATCTTCTGTAAATGCTCTATCTTTTTTCCCCTCTAAACTTGGTACCCAAATGAGATAGTAGATAATGTAGGTGCCTAGCACATTGCCTGGCATATAGTAGCAATGTTCATTTAGGGTCCAGTTGTAGTGGACAGGTATCAGTTATGGTTTACTCTTACTAATGAGAGCTGTTCCATGTGTGCAGCTGATAAATATAGAAGTCTCCAGGAAACTTACAAGGATTTGGAACCCTCTGGGGAAAATGGGCAGGTTTTCCTGCTTTAGTCCTGGCAACTCTTCAGTTATATGTATTTCCTTGGTCCAAAGTTACAGTGAGATTCTTGTGCAGCTTCTTTCCAGAGGTGGATATACTAGAGTAGAAGAGTCATAGTCCTGTGGTTTCCTGGTGATCACCTTACAAGGTTGCAATCATTATCATCATTCCACATCACTAAATGTTAGAATAATTTCAGGTGTTTTTCGTATGGCTGGATCATATGTTAATGAGCTCTGATTTGACAGTTTGGATGCTGTGTTGTAGCAATACCAAACTAACAAAAAGAAAATGGGGAGAGTAGGGTTTGACACCCATTTTGTATATAAAACTTGTATATAATCTTACCCAGGGTATGTTCAGTAAATTAGGACTTTTCATTACAAAGCATGTTTTTTGAATCTACTATGCAGATTTAGAGATTCTTAGGAAGCAGATTCAGTGGGTAGGTAACTTATACTCAGGGTTCAACTTTTTTCACTAGCTCTTGTCTTTGACTTAGGCTACAAATTATATAAACTGCCCATGTCGCCAAGATGTGTCTGTGGAGCACCAAGTCCAGAAGGTGTTCCTTGGCAAAAGCGAAAGAAAAGGAAGGGAGGGAGGGAGGGAGGGAGGAAGGAAGGAAGGAAGGAAGGAAGATCATTAACTGAAACTGGGGAATGATATAAATATCTACATAGTGCATTAAAAAGTTCTGTGAAGTCATAAAGGTTCTCTTTTGTTTTTTCAGTTATTTATTTTTGACTGTAGACATTTTACTTGGCCTAACAGCTAGTCATGTTCTACACACAGATATAATCTGGGACATTAAGGACCAGAACAGCACTCAGTATTCTGCTAGGTCTACCTCTTTAAAAAATTATGTGCTTGGCAGGATGATTGCACACACCTTTAATTCCAGCACTGGGGAGGCAGAGGCAGGTACAAATCTGTGAGTTTGAGGTCAGCCTGTTCTACAGAGCAAGTTCCAGAACAGCCACAATGAAACTCTGAATTGGAAGATCAAAAAGAAAGAAAAAGTTGTGCTTGGACACAATGCTGTGTAGATAGAGCCTTCTGAGCAGTTTCCTTTTAGAACTTTAACTTGCACTACTGTTGATTCAGCCAGTAATTAAAATAAAAAATACATGGAGAATTTGTGCTTTAAGAATATTTACCTGCTGATCTGCTGTCAAGACCAAAAGACACTCAGTAATGTTTGACATTTTCCCCATAATACTCATTTTTCTGGGGACACATGATAGTCTTGATAAACTCTTTGGTTCTAAATACATTTATTTTAGTTAGGCATTAAAGTCACAATTACTTCTAGATAGTGAGGGTAGGAAATATGAAAGTACTGTTCTTGGTCGGCTCTGAAGGATGATTGGGTTTAGAAACAAAGAGCTGGATTTCTTTGAACTAACATTTTTTTGTTGTTTGTGTTTGGAATTCTGTTTTTCTTTTAATGGCTCCATAATCCACCTCTTCTTCTCTAGTTGTATTCTACTCTGAAAGAAGGCAACCCACCCTGGGAGGTGACAGAAGCGGTTCTCTTTATCATGGCTGCTATAGCAAAGAGTGTTGATCCGTGAGTGTCTAATAAGTCTTTTGCTGGGAACTCTTAACTATCAAGAGAAAGGACATTTACACCATGTTTCTGTATGCTATATTATTGGAAAGTCTTATAACTCCTATGCTGCTGCCTAGCCTTCCGCTTTAGTCTAGTGTAGGATGGCCTGCAATGCTGATGCCATATTTTAGTATACTTCTTAGAGTTAAACTTCTTTTACTCTTGATGCTAGGAAAAGAATGCTGATTTTTTTTTTTTCCTTCAGTGGCTCCTTTGTGACAGTGGGTGTGGTCAAGAAATTTGTTAAGTGTGCTAAATTGTTTGGTATTTGCTTAAAAACAATGGGATAGGCATTAATTTGGACCTCCTGTTTTTGTGACTTTAGGTAAGTTATCCTTAGATGTTTAATTACATTTTCTCTGTCTTAGGTAATCTGTGGGTTTCAGAGACAGAACATTGGTGCCATTTTACCTAAAGGAATAGAGAATCTAAAGGACAGTTGTTAACACAGTTGTTAATTTTGTTATTGCCATTGAAAATTTCAAATTATTTGAATTTGAGGTGTAATTGCTTAGCATGGAAATTAAATTTATGACAGGGTTCTTAAGCAGAGTTTGCTTGTGTCTTGTTTATACACTGATATAAAAACTTTGTCTAGTTATGTTGAATTTTGATCAGACACTTATACTCTAGCTCTGTTTAGGATCATGATTGGAAAGCTGGCACCTGTTGAAGGCACAGTGCTTCCTTCTCATTGATGTGTTTTCAACCTAAGAAATAAAAAAAGATGATTAGGCCTTTTTTTTTTTTTTTTCTACTAGAAGTTCTCCTTCTTAATTGACTACTATAGCATTTGCTCTCAAAGCATTTGGTGTCTTTTGGAACCTTCTCTGATGGTCTGAGGGTTTACCAAAAATCATTGTGCCCAGTAGGTGTTAAGTGTAAGTCATAAATAAGAAATTACTTGTTTATCCTCTCTTCAAATCAACATATGATTAAGGGGGTCTTTGTTTGTTTTTTAAGTCCATTTAAAAGATGTAATAAGTCTAATAATTGGCAGGTGATGGTCATGTTATAATCCTAGATATCTTCATTTTAAACATCTTCATTTCTGGATTAAATTCTAACTGGGAACATCTTCCATGCTGTGTTTTAAACCCAGTTTAGTAGGAGGATGAGGGTGATGAATTCACAGAACTGTGGAAAGTATTTGGTTGATTTAAATTCCCTCGTGTTCTAAATCAGGGCATCCTGATGGCCCCACAGCCTGTTTTGTTGGGTTCTTTCACTTAGTGAGCCAGTCCACTTGTCCTTTCCCTTTCAAAGTTTCCGGTATCCATCCATGAGAAATCTTTGGAGGATAACAGCTAATAGAAGTGGCTGTAAGAACTATTCATTAATTCATTTAAGCATTAAGGAGTCTTTCTTGAGTGCCCACTATGTGCCAGGCACTGTTCTAGGTGCTGCAGATAGGGGACTGAATAAATGAACTGGGTTCTTTAAAAGATGACATTCACCATCAGTTAATATCTGCCTTTCTGACTGCAAATGCCTCTCTTTGATAGCATATATCTAGATACTTTCATGCTGTTCAAAAGAAGGAGCAGTGTACTTCTGGAACATTGATAGCTTAAATTTCTACCTTTTGTCCTTTTTTGAAGTTTTTGAAGATGTTAAGGGCTGGGTAATGTGTCTCGGTGGTAGAGCACATTCTTAGTACCTCAAGAAAACAAGAACCAGACTTCTTGTTTGAAAAATGTTCACTTTTATTTGAATAGTTGTTTACTGAGAAGCGCTTCAGGCAATATCAAGTTTCACTGCTACCTATTACTTGGCTAGAATATTAACCATACAGACAGTAACTGTAAGTAATTGCTTTCTGTCCTCAGGGAGAACAATCCTACACTTGTGGAGGTACTAGAGGGTGTTGTCCGTCTCCCAGAGACTGTACATATGGCTGTGCGGTACACAAGCATTGAGCTGGTTGGAGAAATGAGTGAAGTCGTTGACCGAAACCCTCAGTTCCTGGGTGAGGGTGAATGCTGCCTCTGCTGCTGACTTGGGCTGGCTCTGAGGCCTCCTTTCTTTTGCTCTTGTTTTCCTGCTTTCTTCTCATAGAAAGAGCCCACTGCGAGTTGCTGAGGTGGAACATTTGTTAGACCTCCAGATAGGAAAAGCGTTGAACTACTTACTACTTTTCTAAATAAACCATAAACATTTCTGTCTCTGCTAGTCTTTGGTACATGTATGAGTTAATCAGACTGTCCTTCTAATGGCTAATAGACTAAAGGAAAGGAAGGAGTTTCCTTTGTTAAGTAGATGTTTTATGTAAAAGCTAATATTACTCAAAATATAAATTGAAATGAATCTTGAAGTTGGACTTAAAGTTGGAATCATTTATCCCAACACCCTCATTTTGCAGATAAAGACTCTGAGATCTAAAGAAAACAAAAAATTTTTTTACAGAGAAATATGTAATCAAACTCCTGATGCTTAAGATTCATTCTGAGAATTTTATGTGTTCCCAAGTTTGTGAATGTTTGCAAATAATGTGCTTTTAATGGTTAAAATGATTGCCACAAAAAGTAAACCAGTAGCTAGGTATGGTGGTACACGCCTTTAATCCCAGCACCTGGGAGGCAGAGGCATGGGTGTCTGTGTGAGGATGTTGGGTCCCCAGGAACTGGAGCTATAGATAGTTGTGAGCTGCCATGTGGGTGCTGGGAATTGAACCTGGGTCCTCTGGAAGAACACAGGCAGTGCTCTTAACCACTCAGGCATCTCTCCAGGCCCTTGTTGATTCTTTTGAGACAAGGTCTCACAATATAGCCCTGGCTGATCTACAATTCATTACATAGACCAGGCTGGCTTCACACTAAGAGATCAGCCTACCTCTGCCTTCCAAATGCTAGAATTAAAGGCATGTGTTACCACACCCGGTGAAGGTGTGTGTGTGTGTGTGTGTGTGTGTGTGTGTGTGTGTGTGTGTGTGTGTGTGTTGCTTTATGTACTTCATTTTATGAATTACTTTTGAAAAATATATCAACCTTTGTTGCAACAAAATATATACTTTCCTTGAGTTTCATATATATAATCTGTATTTGGCTTTTATTTCTTAGACCCTGTATTGGGCTATTTGATGAAAGGCCTGTGTGAAAAGCCTCTGGCTTCTGCTGCGGCCAAAGCCATTCATAACATTTGTTCAGTTTGTCGGGATCATATGGCTCAGCACTTTAATGGACTTCTAGAAATTGCCCACTCCCTTGATTCTTTCATGTTATCTCCAGAAGCTGCTGTGGGTTTGCTAAAAGGTTAGTAACAGTTTCCTCTAAACCACTACTTGGAGTTATCTTAACTCTTATTGAAGCTTTTTAGTAATAATGTACTTAGTGATAGCAAAGGTGGCTTTTCCATTCAGGGGGAATGTTTAGTATGTGTTTATGTATTCTTTTCTTAGCAAAGCTTAAGCCTATCAAATTAATTCATACTGCTTGAAGTATGTATAGCATAGTTATAGATTTGAGGTAGAGACCACACATTCAAATTAAACACAATTTGTGTTTGCTGCTAAGAAGAAATGAACACTGAGTTGTATCAGTGTGAAAATCAGCCTGAATTCTTCTTAAACACACACACAAGAAACTATAATTTTAAAGAACAGTGCTGATCTTTTTAAAAGAATTCTGGTTATCTGTCTAATGTAGATCAACTAATTTAATTACCTCAGATCATCCTTTATGCTCTTCATTTGAGTCATTTTTGTTTTTCAGGAACAGCTCTTGTCCTAGCAAGACTACCTTTGGATAAGATTACTGAATGTCTTAGCGAGCTGTGCTCTGTTCAGGTTATGGCATTAAAAAAGGTGAGCCCTAATAAAGATGGAAACAAATTAGGTGTCATATGTTTAAGTGGCAAGAGAACTAAATGAAGTTTATTAAAATTAGTAATTGTATCAGCATACTAGAAAATATACAGTTCAACGTTCATATGCATCAAGGAAGCAGGCTCGGGAAAGCAGTTGGTCATTTTTGTAGGTGTTCAAACGTTGGACTGTTTGTTATACAAACCCAGAAGCTATAGGTCAGTCATTTGACATGCCCTCTTGATGCAAATCAAGACACATAGCAAACACAGGGTGTATAAAGGCTGCTGCTACCATACCAATTTCTTTTTCCCCAGTATGTGTACACCTTAAAATAATAAGTCCAGACATGGTATCCCCTGCACTTGAGAGGCTGATTCAGTAAAATCAGGAGTTTGAAACTAGCTGGGCTACATAGTGAATTTCAAGCAGCCTGGACTAAATAGTGATACATGTTTAAAACAGACAAACAAAACCAAAGTAATAGTAATAATAGTATAGTAAACACATTAGTAACCATCATATCAGAAGCATCACAAATATAGGAATAAATATTGCACACTGATATTTGAGTAGTTATGGAGTCTCTGTGTTAAAAGCTTTTCAGATCCATTATAATCTTATAAAATGACTTTTATACATGTAGTCTTTATTGACCAAAGCATTGTTTATGTGTCACCTGACTGTTTAAAAATCAGTAGATTCTTAGGGCAGTGGTGGCTCATGCCTTTAATCCCAGCACTCAGGAGGTAGAGTTCAAGGTTTACAGAGCAAATTCCAGGACAGCTAGGGCTACACAGAGAAACCCTGTGGTGTTGGGGGAGGAACAGTAGACTCTCAATTTCTAAATATCGGGAACAACTATTTAGAAGTTAGAGTGTGAAAACCAGGTCCTAGAAGTTAAACAGTATCCTAGAAGCCAGGAGTATTGGCACATACCTGTAATCTCAACTCTGGGTGGGGAAGATGAGACAAGAGGATCATGGGTTCAAGGCCAGCCTCAGATACATAGTGAGACTGTCTCAAGAGAAGAAAATCTGTAGTCTACTGTATTTTATTGATGAACTCTTTAAAGCTGTCAGCTCTTCTCCAATTTCTAGCTCAATTTCTAGCTCAATAACAATAGACGTAGTAATGGAAGTTTCGGAACTTGCCATAATGGTCCTGAAGTTCATCTGTACTGATCTATTCTACTAGTAGTATTTAAGGAATTTTAGAAAAGAGAATGAGAGACAGTTTGCTTAAAAAAAAAAAAAAAAAAAAAAAAAAAAAAGAAGCTTTAAAGAAGTAATCATCTTAGCATTTTATATTATATAAAGCTAAATATAAATTGGGCATGGTGACACATGCTTATTATCCCAGTAGTCAAATATTGAGGCAGAAGCTAGCCTGAGCTACATAGGAAGACCTTGTCTAAAACTTAAAATTGAGCTGGGAAGATGGCTTGGTTGGTCAAGGTGCTTGCCACTAAGCTTAAGGACCTAAATTTATTCCCTAGGACCCACATGGTAAAAGGAGAGAACTGATTCCCTCAGATTGTTCTCAGACCTCCACCTGCCACTTGCCTCTCCCCACCCACAACTAAATAAATGTTTTTTTAAAGTGGCATGTAGGGACTGAAGAGATAGCTCACTTGCTGTTTTAGTAGAAAACATGGGTTTCACTTCTTAGCACCCTCTTGTGGTCTTCTTGGACACCAGGCCAAACCCTTATACACTTAAGTATTGTTTTTTTGTTTTTTGTTTTTAAAGCTAAATATAGATGTTACATATATAAAGTATAAAGTAACAATATACAATTTCTATTATAGACATTATCTTAAACATAGTTAACTGGAGAAAAAAAAATCAAATGACATTTTATTTTCCCAAGCAGTCAGATAGTAAATACACTAATATGCAGTCTAATCCAGGGTGCAACAAGAGGGGGGAAGTGGTTTGCAAGTAAGAAATTTGTACCATTCAAGTGATTTTTCAGCTCTTCTTAAAGAAATAAGCAGAAGTCGAGGCAAGGGTTGCTATAGAACGATGTTTATTGCTGCATTCACTAAAGGTCTCTGTGTGTTAATGTCTTTGTCTCTTCAGCTGTTGTCTCAGGAGCCCAGCAATGGCATATCTTCAGATCCCACTGTGTTCTTAGATCGCCTGGCAGTAATATTTAGGTAAGAAGGGAAGGTCTGGATTCCTCTCTAGAGTTAAAAGCACAAATGAGACACCAAAATAAGCCAGTAGTGATAGTACAGGCCTGTGAGCCCAGTTCTTGGGAGATGGAGGCTGGAAGATCAAAGGTTGGAGGTCGTCCTTACTACATAGCAATTTGAGGCCAGCCTAGGCTATACAAGAAGATCCTGTCTGCAAACCTCTTGTTACACTATTGTTCTTAGAGCCTTTTGGCATTTGTTGGTTGGTCGTTCAAGATAGGGTTTTTCTGTGTAGCCCTGGCTGTCCTGGAACTTACTCTGTAGACCAGGCTGGCCTTGAACTCAGAGATCTGCCTGCCTCTGCCTCCCAGATCCTGGGATTAAAGGCATTCGCCACCACTGCCCTGGTTTTTCTTCTTCTAGCCTTGGCTTGCCTGGAACTTGGTGTGTAAACTAGACTGACCTCAAATTCCTAAAGATGTGCCTGTGTTTACTTCCCAAGTGTTGGGGTCAAAGGTGTGCGCCACCATACCTGGCCGAACGTGTTGTGTTTTAATGCTCAGGGTAGATTATATGTATTTTTATTAATTTGGAAATAAACACATTTGGGTTTATAAAGAGGGATAATAGAAAAAGTAGTAGAGCTTACCCTGCAGCTCATATAACCAGAGTTGCATGGAATTTGCTTGTTCTAGTAGTGACTTGATAGCAGTTTGATGTTTATATATGGAGGGGAGGGTAGCTTAAAGTATGTCTGTTTTTGCTTGAAATGGGCTAGAAGAAAACTATGTTGATGTAAGTAAATGACTCTTACCACCTGGTTTTATGAGCAAAGAGCGAGGTCTGGGTTCTCATTTAAATTTTTCTTTCACTGTTTGGGGCTATTCTTTTCCCAGACACACCAATCCTATTGTAGAAAATGGACAGACTCATCCATGCCAAAAAGTCATACAGGAAGTAAGTACTAATGGATGCTTTTTTTCTTTTCCCTTTAAGTCTTTGAGGAACTGGGTTGAGGAGACACTGTCTTTAATGTTCATAGGGAGAATTAATTTTTGGCATAATTTTAGGTTTAGACTTGGTAATAAAATGGTTGGTAAATGCACTAAAAATCCAAAGAGACAGAAATTCTAAGATTAACCAGTCGCTAGAAGGCTTAATCAGTCCTAGCCTAATATTTTTGACAAAGTAAATGGTATTAGCTTTCCCTCTGTATAATTCTCCTTTGTATTTTATTCACTCAGGATAGTATGAGGATCAAGAGGCATGGGGTTTTGGTTGTTAGTTTACTTGCTTATTGTTTTATAAATTGTGCATTTATTTGTATGTATATACACTCCCCATGGCGCAGAGGTCAATCAGAGAGCAACCTGCAGGAGTTGATTCTCTCCTTGTCCTATATGTTTCCTAGGGCTTTATTTCAGGTCATAAGTGTTGGTGACAAGTATGTTTACTATTGAACCATTTCTACAGCCAGAGTCATGCTTTCTAGAAATGCATTGCAAACTTTAGAGGTTACATAAATACTAAATATCCTTAATTTTTCAGTGTAACCTTAGTCCTTTTGTTTGTTTTCTGCTTTCCTGGAGCTACCTTTAAATATTTTTTCCTCTGTAATTCTTTTTTATCTTCACTAAGAAAGTCTGAAATTCAGGAAAATGTGTATCTGATTTTTATTAAGTTAGATTCGGTGGTCTTATTCTAAAGAGTCACTGTGTTTCTCCTAAGAAGCACTTGGGTTTTAGTATTGTTTAATATACGAGACTGTGCATATCTATACGCATACTGGCTGAATCAGGCCATGTGAACTACTGTAAAGAAAATCTTATCCAAATCAGACAGGTGTAATAATGTATGCTATAATCTCAGAAGTTTGGGAGGCCAATGCAGGAAGATTGTCACAGGTTTGAAGCCAGCCTGGGCCACATAGTGAGCTGAAGGCCAGTCTGGTCTATGGTGTTAGACCAATAATAATAATAATAATAATAATAATAATAATAATAATAATAAATTAATTGTTTTAAACCAAATCAGGAATTACCAGTTTAGGATTTTTTTTCTCAGCTATTAGTTGATGGGCTTTCTTTCTCACACTTTAACTTTTGATTCAGATATGGCCAGTTTTGTCTGAGACGCTAAATAAGCACCGAGCTGACAATCGGATTGTAGAGCGTTGTTGCAGATGCCTGCGCTTTGCTGTTCGTTGTGTAGGCAAAGGGTCTGCAGCTCTACTACAGCCACTAGTCACACAGGTGAGTTTCCCTTGAGATGGACGCACCATGTAGAGAACAATACCTTCAGGGCAAAAACTTTGTTGGTGAAATGAAGTCCTTTTGATTGATTTGGAAAGGAAAATACATTTTGATAAATAAGTGCATGAGATAGGTATGCTGTCTATAGAAAAACAGCCTGTATAGCAGTAGTCTAAATAGACTGGCTAAAATCGTATGAAGAGAGCAACTCATGATCAGCCTCTATGTATCTGTGGTAAATATTTTGTATTAATGTCTTTCAGGAAAATGAAACAAGTCAAACTTTGTTGTTTCTTGGCCCACAGTTATTTTTCTATCATGACTATATTTTGCTATTCATACAGGTCTCTTATTGGTCAAAAATAAATAGGATTTATTTCCCCCAAGCGGTTTCTAGGGAGAGTGCTTGTGTCTAGGGAGAGTGCTGTTGAGAGTTAACGAAGGGTGTTGTCCTCAATCGAGTTCGGTTTTTATTGTTGAGGTGGGGTCTCTCCCTGAACTGGAGATTCTACTATTCTAGCAAGGTAGCTAGCTGGCTTCAGAGGTGCCCTGTCTGCCTCCCAAGTGTTCAGAGTACAAGTGGCCACCACACGTGCCCAACTGTACATAGGTTCTAGGGATCTGAACTCTGGTCCTAATGCTTGCTCTTTCATCCATGAGCCATCTTCCCAGTCCCAATTTGATTCTTTTAATCATTAAGATTGGCAAGTAATGGTGATGGTGTGATTTGTGATTTGAAGTAGTAACATTTAGACATATATGAAACATTTTTCCTTAGAGCATTAATTTGTGTTGATGTTAACCTCCTACTGTTAGTATATAGCACATTTAAACTTTGTGGGGGTTGGGTGGGTATTTTTGTTCTACACTGTCAAATTAGAATGAAAACATTGGCTATGCCAGTGAGACCTACTCTCACTGTGTGCTCCTTAACAAAAAAAAAAGAAGTGGGCTGGGCATGGTGGTACAGACCTTTAATCCTAGGTAGTGAGGCTGTATTTTGGAAATATTACTAAAGTGTTACTAAAGTACTAAATTGCTTGTAGTTTGAAGTATTTGACAGTTCTTTCAACATTGTCTGCAGAAGGAAACCAGTCAAAGGCATAACAGAACTCTTTAAAAAGAAAACTTGAAAAGTAAGAAGTTGAACCTTGTGTGTTTTGTGTTGCCAACAAACTGTAATACTTTGCCTTTAAGAGAAAAGCCCTGGGGGCTACAGAGATGGCTGGTTGGTGATTGCTTGGCTGCTCTTCCAGAGGTCCTGAGTTCAATTCACCAGTAACCACATGGTGGCTCACAGACATCTATAATGAAATCAGGTGTACTCTTAAGGCGTGTGGGCTTACATGCAGGCAGAATACTGCACACATAACAAACAAATTAAATAAATAAATAAATCTTTAAAAAAGAGAGAGAGGAGCCCAACCTGGTTTTCTTCCTGGAGATAGCTATTGATAACTTCGGATACTTTCTGAAGGGTGAGTGATGAGTTGACTGGGCAGTTTCTTTCTTGCAGATGGTGAATGTGTACCGTGTACATCAGCACTCCTGTTTCCTGTACCTCGGCAGTATCCTTGTGGATGAGTATGGCATGGAAGAAGGCTGTCGGCAGGGGTTATTAGATATGCTCCAGGTATGTTTTTCTTAGATTGTGCCAGGCCTTATGGACCTCAAAACTTTTGCTGGGCTTTCTTTATTCTTGTCACAACCATGGCTTGTTGATTTTTTAATATCAGGGAGATAGACACTTTGTGAATGTTTTCCTTTTTTCTCTTTATTTTAGACAGGGTCTCACTATGTGCCCCGGAACTCACTGTGTAGACCGGGCTGATCTCAAATTCACAGAGATCTGCCTGCCTGTACATTCCAAGTACTGATATTACAAGGTTACACTACTATGCCTAGCGGGCTGGTCTCAAATTCACAGAGATCTGCCTGCCTGTACATTCCAAGTACTGATATTACAAGGTTACACTACTATGCCTAGCGGGCTGGTCTCAAATTCACAGAGATCTGCCTGCCTGTACATTCCAAGTACTGATATTACAAGGTTACACTACTATGCCTAGCTTTTAAATGTCTTACTGCATTTGTTGAGGTATAGGGTACATATATCGCCACAGATGAGGAAATCAGAGGATAGCTTATGGGAGCTGATTCTTTCCTTCCATCTTGTCCTGAAGATCAAACTCAGATATCAGGTTTGATGACTAGACCACATCTAGTGCATATATAAAAAACTCAGCTATCAGGTTTGATGACTAGACCACATCTAGTGCATATATAAAGTATCTTCACTAATGGTAGGACTGGCAAGCAGGTAAGGGCACTTGCTGTTCTTACAGAGAACCTTAATTTTGTTCCCAGCACTCACATGGTGGCTTGCAGTTGTCCATAGCACCTTACAATCATTTATAATGCCAGTCCAGGGGATACTAGGCATGTAGATGCTGTATATATAAAACATGTAAGCAAAACACTCATACACATAAAATAATCCGTTTTTTAAAGATTCCTTTTTTTTTTTTTTTTTTTTTTCTTTTCTTTTTTTAAGGTTTCTAATTCTGTGCCAAGTATGGTACTTTATGACTTTAGGCATAAGTTGAGTGTTGAAAACCAATCTGAGCTACAGAACCTAATCTTGTCTCAAAAAAATAAAGAGCTAAGCTGGGGAATGGTGTTGCACACCTTTAATTTCATTGCTCAGAAGATGGGATTTCTGTGAGTTTGAGGCCTGGTCTACAAATCCGAGTTCCAGGACAACCAGAGCTGTTACACAGAGAAACCCTGTCATGAAAAAACAAAACAAATGGCAAAGAGCTGTAGAGATGGCTTATTGGGTAAAATTGCTTTCTTCAAAAACAGGGACTTGAATTTGAATTCTCAGAGTGCAAGTACAGTAGCTTATATCTGTAATTCCCACCAGACACAGTAGTGCAAGCGTCTACAGTCTCACTGTCCCTGTGGGAATTGAAGCTCTCAGACCAGGATGGCACATGCAACAGGAAAACAATAGAGACTCCATCTCAGGAAAGGGTTAGGCTGGATCCACACCTAGGGTTGCTACCTGACCTCCACTTTCATAAACACACAAATAAGTTTTTAAAAATCCCATGAGATATTCAAATATGGTGGAACATGCCTATGTCCTCATTATCCAAGAAGCTGAAACAAGAGGATCACTCTGAGTTTGAGACCAGTCTGGGTATATTGTGACTCCAGTTCCAAGAGCTCTGTGACACCATCTTCTAAAATAAATAGATCTTTAAGGAGGGACGGGACACAGTCATTTGGTTCAGTTAGTGAGTCAGTCTATTCAGTATCATAACTGAGATCTTTTGGCCCTTTCTGAAGTGTCTTCTGTGTGTGTGTGGTATGTGTGGTGTGCACATCAGTGTACAGAGGTGTGTATGCATTTGGAGACCATAGCAGAGCATCACGTGTCTTCCTGCCTGTTGCAGAGGTGAGAAGCTCGCTTTTTCCACAAGGCCCGCTAGCTAGTAAACTCTTGGGGTCTGCCTGTCCAACTCCCCAAAGCTGAGTTTACAGGCATCTACAGGCACACCTGGCATTTTATGCTGGCACTGGGGATCCAAACTCAGTTCCTCATGCTTGCATAGCAAGTGCCCTTCCCCACCCAGCCATTTGCTTCCTCAGTCCCTGACATGTGATTTTTTTTTTTTTTTTCTCCTCCGCATATAAGCTTGTTCTTTGAATTGGGCAAGAGTTTTCTGATTCTCATCGCCATCTTGTCATTTCCTATGTGCTTCTACTCTGTGTGTTTGCTCTGATGTTTGGCAAGTCTGAATATTGTGACATTTATATCTAAGCATTTGTTTTAAATTACTGTTTTGTTCTAGGCGCTATGCATTCCCACCTTTCAGCTCCTAGAACAACAGAATGGTCTCCAAAATCATCCCGACACTGTAGATGACCTATTCAGGTTAGCCACCCGGTAAGTCCTTCTGAAGAACAAAACTTTGTAATGTTAATTACTCATCTCTTGTCACTGCTTAATTTTGACACCTGGACATTTTATTATTTCCATCTCTGTAAAAATAAGATCATTGTGAAAAGTAGCTTTTTGTGAGCTGGCCTGTCTCCAGAAGTGAGGAGTATTGGGTAGGAACAGAGAATGAATATACACATGATAAAAATGTACTTAGGTGGGTTAAAAATGTGTCTAAGTGGAAACTGAACTATCAAATGGAATGTGCTTACCCAATATCTGAGTTAGAGTTACTAATGTTGTGATGAAGTACCATGACCAAAAGCAACGTGGGGAGGAAAGGGCTCCATGTAACAGTCCATCATGAAAAGCAGAGCGGGCAGGGATTCAAGCAGGACAGCAACCCGGAGGCAGGGTCTGGTGCAGAGGCCATGGAGCACTGGCTTGCTGCCCATGGTTTGCTCAGTCTGCTTTCTTATAGAACCCAGGACTCTTAGACAAGGATTGACCCCCACCCTCAAGAGGCTAGGTCCTCCCACATCAATCACTAGTTAAGAAAATGCTTTACAGACTTTCCTACAGCTTGATCTTATGGAGACAATTTCTCAATTGAGACTCCCTTTCTGATGACTCTAGCTTGTGTCAAGTTGACATAAAACTAGCTGGCACACACAGATAATCCCCAGTTATGTTACTGTCCCATAATGCTCTCATTATTTCATGTTTCACTCTAGCTACTTCCTGAAGAAACTGAACATCCTTCTGATATAATCCTATCTTAGAACCAATGGTTCCTTGTTTTTTTTCTTTTAAAGATGGTTTCCCTGTGTGTCCCTGACAGGCCTGAAAGCTCACTGTGTTGACCAGCCTGGCTGAGATGTGCCTGCTAGAATTAAAGATGTGCCCAGTTTGTTTCTCTTTGTTTGCAGTGTGATGTTTTAGTCTGTCACAGTGGAGAAGTTACAGCAGTCAGTGAAGTGGCAGTTCTCATTGCATCCCCACCAAAGGGCATCCAGAGTGAATGTGTGCGCTCAGCTGACTTTCTCCTTGTTAAGCAGCCTAAGATCCCAGCCCACAGGGAGCGGGTCTCCCAGCCTGTCTCCCGGGCAGTTCTACATCTCATTGAGTTGAAACTGAGATTAGCCACTTCACTGGTGCCCCCCTATATGTAAATAAGAGTTGTTAAAGAATAATTTCACATTCCTAGCTGTGTATAATGAAAAGTATGGCTTCCCTGTTCCTTTTGTTGCGCACGCACACACGCACACACACACACACACACACACACACACACACACACACACTTCCCCTTTTATCAACATCCTCCTCCAGGGTGGTCCCTTTATAAAATCCATTCTTCTACATTTATATGTTACTGAAACATAAAGTCTAGAGTGGACATTAGAACTCATTTCTGGTGTGCATTCTGGGCTTTGACAAAGGTCAATGCTTAGTTACTGCTATGATCTTACTAAAAGTCTTCCGTGCTCTGTCTTAACCTTCCTTCCTTATAGTTCCTAGTATCCAGTGGCCTTTACTGTTTCCGTGGTTTTTATCCTTTATCTTGGCTGCTTTCGTAGCCTAATCCTGTTAATATCTAACTTTTCCCACATACCAGATTTATTCAGCGTAGCCCTGTCACCTTATTGAGGAGCCAAGTAGTCATCCCAATCTTACAGTGGGCCATTGCGTCTACCACCTTAGACCACCGAGATGCCAACTGTAGCGTCATGAGATTCCTTCGAGACCTTATCCACACAGGAGTAGCAAATGATGTGAGTATAAGCATACCTTTTCTGCTTCGTGGCTTTTTACTATCTAACTCTTTCTTGTGCACTTGATTTGTTTTAGTTGACCTATACCAGAGGGAATCAGCCACTAACCAAATTACTAACTTCTAGATCTCACGTATCTGTGTTAAGTGCTATGTGCTATACAAAATAATGTGAAACAATCCTTGTTCCTAGTAGATGAGGTCCTGCATCCATTCAGTCCCAAATAAACACACAGAGGTGTATACCTTAAATTAACCCATAATTCTTCTCTATGTTTACCCTCGTTGCTTGGAACCTTTTCTCAGTAAGGCGTTCTCATCTTCCTCCCTCTGCATCTGGCTGGCGACTCCTTCTCTGCCTTCCTCTTCCCACTATTCTCCTAGTCTGGTAGCCCCACCTTTCCTTCCTGCCTGGCTACTGGCCAATCAGCGTTTTATTAAACCAGTACGAATGGCAACTCTTTTCAGTGACCAAGAGCATTACCCCACATCATGTCCCTGTTTTCTTACAGCATGAAGAAGATTTTGAATTGCGAAAGGAACTGATTGGACAAGTGATGAACCAGCTTGGGCAGCAGCTTGTAAGCCAGCTGCTGCATACGTGCTGCTTTTGTCTACCCCCGTACACCCTGCCAGACGTGGCTGAAGTGCTCTGGGAGATCATGCAGGTCGACAGGCCGGTGAGTTCCCTTCATGAGGTGCCTGTTTTCATAGTCCCCAAACCTGGTAAGGTTTGCTTCCTTGAAACCGGCCCTACGTTTGAACCAGCTGTGTTGTATATATCCTTGAAACCAAATTTAGGTACATTGCTCAAACATGCTAAGGATGTAGTACACTATTTGTCTCTACCCCTGACCTTAGAATTTTATAAGGCTATATAATAGTAACCAGGTTATTTCAACCCTCATGCTCAGTGCGGTAACATACTACAGTCATATGGCCCTCTTTCCTTAAAAGAATTTCAGTACTAGCCAGATAGTCATAAATGATATGCCTACTACATAAGAAATTTAAAACTTATTTTTATTTTATGTGTGTGTGTGAATGCCTGCATAATAATATACAGATTAAGATACATGGGACAAGGATAAAATATGGGTTATATATTTTATTCTGGGAGCAGTCACTTACATGAGAAACCAATGACACACAAGTTCGCACTCCAAGGATCCACACCCAGGCTGCTCTCTGTGACCAGACTGGAATCGAGAGAGCAAGCCTGTCCCAGACCCCAGACCAAACACCACAGGCTCACCTACGCCACTGTGACCACACCCAAAAGGGCATGGCTAGTGGCACAGGTGTGACTGGGTGGGCCTCTCACCACACCGGCATGTGTGTTTCCTGCAGGGGCCAGCAGAGGGCATCGGTTCCCTTGGAACTAGAATAACAGACAGTTGTGACTGTCATGTGAGCACTGGGAACCATCTCTCCAGCTATCATGTCAGAACTTTGAGCATAGTGACATAATAGCTTGTAAATTATTTTGAAAAATAAGGTTTCTAATTTTTAATGTTGATATATAAGCCATTAAGGAAAATACACAGTAGAACCTAAAATGAACTGTCTTCCAGAACCAATAAATAAATAATAAAAATACATAATGGTACTGTAGTTCCCATTGTTATTTATTTAGTGCATATGTTCAGAGGTGGATATTACAAGGAAACTAAATGAATACAGTTTCTTGGAAGGATAACTTTAAGATCTTGATTCATATTATATGTATGGTTTCTGTATTACCTGACTGAGAAATCACACATCCATGACTCTTTTCCCAAGAAACAGCAGTACAAAGGGTGGGTGCATGCATGTGTGCTGATGAGGAAGTGTTTTGTTTGGTCACTCCCAATGTAGTAATTGTTTAAAGGAATATTTCAAGTACACGGTTTAAGAAACTCAGATTTAGTTAACTATGTAGTTTTAGAATGTTCCTAATTACATATCACGATTCATGCTATTAGCAAAATTTATGTATATATATATATAGAGAGAGTAGGAGGTTCATTTAGGCCATGGGTACCATTGTGAAAACTTGTAAAGGAAAAATTTCTCATTTGCTGAGTTCTATATTTCTTATTTGTCTATCTGCTCCATTGCTTTAAAAATACAGCTACATAATGTGTAATCGCAGCTAATCTTGGCACTTGGGAGCTAGAGACAGGAGTATTACCAGAGCTTTGAGACAAGCCTAGTTATGTGAATTTCATTCAGCCAAGGGTTTGTTTATGTTTGGTCCATGTTACAGAAGCAAAGAAGGAAGACTGTGAGTGAGTGTACAGAGAGGTGTGTCGCACAAGTTCTATTAGGTGTTAATAATAAAAGCCCGGAGTCAGATGATAGGGAAGATGCTGAGAACAAATGAGCAAAACCACAGCCACCTCACCTACTCAACTCCTGTCCTGTCTCCTCCTGCATTATCACTTCCTCTGCACAGCCACCTCACTTCCTGTCTGTCTGTCTGTCTGTATGTCTGTGCAGACCTCCAGCCCTGTATGGTTAACTCTATGTCTACTCTGCCCTCTGATCTTCAGTTAAGCTTTATTTGTTAGCTTATGAACAAGATATCACTACAAGAGAATGTATGTATTTGTGTCTGTGTGCCGCTTTATTTGTTGTTTGTTTATTTGTTCAGTTTCTGTGTGGCAGGGTTTCTCCATGTAATAGCCTTGGCTGTCCTAGAACTCACTCTGTAGATCAGACTCACAGATCTGCCTGCCTCTGCCTTCCAGGTGCTGTGATTAAAGGTGTGTGCCACACCGCCTGGCTATTTTTTAATTTTTCTTAAGACAGGATCTGACTATATAACTTAAACTAGTCTGGAATTTCCTATGTAACCCAGGCTGGCTAGAAATCTCAGTCCTCCTGCATCCATCTCAAGTGCTGGAATTAAAGGCCTGCATCTCCATACCTGGCTTGGCCTTGCTATTTAAACCACACTTTGCGGGCTAGAGTGATGGATGGCTCAGCAGTTAAGAACACTGGCTGTTTTTCTAGAGGACCTGAGTTTGATTCCTACCACCCCCATGGTAGCTCACAACCATCTGCAATTCTAGTTCTAGGAGCTCTGACACCCTCTTCTGACCTCCATGGGCACCATACTATGTGGTACATGGACATGTACTCACCCATACATACACATACAATAAAATTTATAAAAAATTTAAGCCATTGTGAGACAGTCGTTATCAATATTTCCCATTAAACCTTGCTTGTGTGTAACATCCGTAAATGTCCCTACATTTCTTCATCATTTGATTTGATCTTTTCTAAGCTTTCACACTTCTGTTCTCCTTGGTCTTTCTGATTGACTTGCTTTTGATCTTGCTCAACAGTCTTCTGGCACCCAGTAATATTTTGAAATAAATATGTTAATGATAGGAACAGACCACGAGAGTCATCTGGAAGAGACTTCACTTGCAAGATATGGCTGACCTCTGCCCCTCTAAAGAAAAGCTAGACTTGCTTTTGCAGAACTCATCAGCCTAGAGTGTTTCAAGGCCTAAAATAGTATTTTGTTAATCTTATTTGACCTGACTCAAGGGGGTTTGTAGTGAGATAGTCCTTCTGTGGCACTGACCACGCCCATTGGGGGTGGAGCCAAGACGGCTGTGTAGTGCTCTCTCCAGACTCTCCATCTTGGCGGCTCCTTACTACCTCTTTCCTCCTAGTTTTCCTAGTCCCGCCTATCTTGCTTTCCTATTGGCCAACAGTGCTTTATTTATTAACCAGTATGAGAAACATATACAGAATGACATCTCCCATCAGGGGTTGGGTTAGTATCTGTAGGGTGCTGGTAAGTAATCTTACCTCCTTTAAAACTCTTATCCAATTTCTCTGTACAGACTTTCTGTCGGTGGCTAGAGAATTCCTTGAAAGGTTTGCCAAAGGAGACAACTGTGGGAGCTGTTACAGTGACACATAAACAACTTACAGATTTCCACAAGCAAGTCACTAGGTAAGTGATGCTGGGGCTTTATGAATAAAGGAAGACAGTGGCTGGGTTATATTTAAAAAAAAAAGCCGGGCGTTGGTGGTGCACACCTTTAATCCTAGCACTCAAGAGGCAGAGGCAAGATGTTCTCTGTGAGTTCGAGGCCAGCCTGGTCTATGGAGCAAGTGCCAGGACAGGCTCCAAAGCCACACAAAGAAACCCTGTCTCAAAAAACCAGGAAGATAAAAAGAAAAAAACCTGCCTAGATTTGAGATTTGTATTCCATCGTTGTGTGTGTTTGTCATCTACACATATAACTAAAACCCTAGCTCAGTTCCCAGCACTTACATGGCAACTCAACTGTAACTCCAGTTCCAGGGGACCTGACACCCTAACACAGACATACATGCAGGCAAAATAGCAACACACATAAAAAATTAAAACAAAGGGATTTTGTAACTGATAGGTAAAGCCTTTAGAGTTTGGCTAAATGTTAAACACGGGCTTTTATTCATATATTTGTGTCATAATGTGTAAGCCAAAAAAAAATGAGTGTTGTAGTAAGGTTGGTAATGTAAAAAAACCAAAAAACTGGAAATAAAATAATTATCCATTAATAGAGAATGATTAAATAATTCATTGTATATGTGCATTAGTAAATAGTCTCTAAAAAAAAGTGTATATGATAGATGAGAAAATTGTACAAGCCAGGCATGGTGTCACATGCCTTTATTTTACTTTATATTATTTTTGACGGGGTGAGAAAGGACTTGTGTTGGAGGGACATAAAGGAACAAAGTTGCTGGTCTAATGTTGACCAGGAAGCGAGACAGACAGACAGGAGAGTACCAGGATGAGGGTGCTTGTGTACTTCAAAGGCTCAGTGTTTAAGAACATTGCTGCTCTTCTAGAGCAGGCTCAGATCCTAGGTCCATTGGAGACAGCTCATAACCCACCTGTAATTATAGCTCTGGAGAATCTGGAAGGGAAGTTACAGTGCAGGAGCTTAGGAGGCTGGGTATATTTCATTTGCAGAAAGAGATGAATGCTGGTAGTTAGCTGTTTTTCATTTTTATATTAAGCCACATTCAGAATGGGCTTTCCCACTTTAGTTAACCCAGTTCAGAAACTCCTTCATATACATGCCCAGGGATTTGTCTCAGATGAGTCTAGTGCCTGTCGTGTTGACAGTCAACATTAGCCATTATGAATGTACATGCCCCATTTATTTATATGCTGATGCAAATAACATTGCTATAAACATGAATTCTGTTGTTACACATAGCTCCTATAACATGGATTTGTGAACCTAGTATGGTGACATAAACCTTTAATCCCAGCATTCACAAGTCAGAAACAGGAGGATCTGTGAGTTTGAGGCCAGGGCTACATAGTGAGCTCTCACTCAAAAACAACAATGGCTTGTGTCTGAGCCCAGCAACATGACTTCAGTCCCTGGGACCTACATGGTAGAAAGAGAGAATCAACTCTAGGCAAGTTATCCTCTAGCCACACACACCTACAAATAAAGATAAGTTCAGGCGCTAAAGAAAATGCTCAGTAGTTAAGAGTGCTTGGGACTTGTAGAGGACCCAAATTCAGTCTCCAACACTCAGGTTGTGCAGCTTTACCTATAACTCTAACCCCAAGGGATTCAGACCCTTCTTCTGGCCTCTGGATACACACACACACACACACACACACACTTAAAAATAAACCTTGTTTTGTTTTTCGAGCAGGATTTCTCCGTGTAGCTCTTGGCTGTCCTGAAACTCGGAGATCCACCTGCTTCTGCCTGTGCTATTAAAAGCGTGTGCCATCATGCCCAACTGGGAGGTCAGGGCCAACCTACACTACACAAGACTGTCTAAAGGGGGGGGGGGATGCTGAGGCAAGAAGGTCATTGTAAGTTCAAGGCCAACCTGTGCTATATAGTTAGTTTCAGGTCACCCTGTAGTATAATGTAAGATTTTTGTCTTAGCTAAAAGTTGGAGAGAGAGAGCGCGCCCTGTTATTTGTAGCTTACTAAGTGGCTAAAGGCCATGCCCTAGAATTAATTAATATTTTAATTTTGTATTAACTAATATTCATGGCTGACAATTAGCATGGTAACTGGCCTTTGTGATGTATTTCTCCAAAGTGGGGAATCCCCTGAACCAGGTAAACATATATAGACCAGGGTGACCTTAGGAATTATTTGATCTCCCTCCTCTCGTTGTGACTTTATAGTAGGGTGGTGTTTCACATGCATTGCAATCTCAAGAGAAAGGTGCTTCTTGCTGCTTCCTTTTCTCTGCTCCATCTTGCTGATTAATAGAAACCAGCGATCTATTGGCTCTAATTTCTTTGAAGCAAATGGAAACCTAGGGGAAATCCTGCAGAGACTGTTTGTTTGAATCTTGTCATTAGGCTGTTTTTTTTTAATTTCGGCTAATTCATCTTTAAATAATGTTAATTATATGCTATAAGGTTATCAAGAAGGGTCAGATGGAATCCTGAAGCTCCCACACATAATAGGTGATCCGTGAAGTTTATAACTCCTTATTGTTTGGGAAAAAAACTGCTAGAATGTCATTGCTTATTTGCAAAACTAGCTGGGGCATGTCTCTTGCCAACTTTACAGCAGCCACCCACACATTCTGGAATATGTCTCTACAGGTCCATATGCTCTTGATGGGGCTAATATATGATGAATAGAATAATGAAGAAGTCTGAAATTAAGGTCATAGACATCATTCCAGTTCAAAAAAGGAGCAAGGGCTCTAAGTCAATCAATATCGTGAATAACCATATCTTTGATCCTTGCTCAGTGAGAAGGCAACTGAACCAAGTAGTCTTGACCTTCATTGCCAAACAAGTTCTGCAGCTCCCAGAGCAGTCTGGCTCACATTGGGATGTGTGTGTTGCAGTGGTGGGTGGGGGGTGGAGGGGGCTGTAGAGTACTGAGCTAAAAAGAGGTTGAGATTGCTCACCTTCTCTTAGTAATTCTCTAGTGTGTGTTGCCCTTGAACCTGTGCATGACTCAGTCTCCCTTTTGGTTTTAAGGTCTTCAAACTCTTGCCTCAACATGCCATTTTGTTTGCCATCCTAGCAGGGAGGGTGAACTGGTTCGGCTTCATTGTAGCAAGTCCCAGCCTGCTTTTCCAATGGGGTTGGTAGTTAATTCTCCAGCTTTCTTAGTTGGTCAAGTTGAAAAAAAGCTGTGCTTTATCAACCAAGATAAGTTTTTCTAAGAACATGTTAAGCAGTCACTATCTCAAATTGGTCATGACTGAAAGAAATCCTGCCATTATTTCCTACTTCTCCAGCTTGATGTGACTGCCTAACATGCATCTTACCATGCACAATACTGTAAACAAAGGTGCTCAACATGGGAAGTGTTGACACTGGAATTAGAGACTGGTCAGGTTGTTATTACCTACCAAGACACCAGATAAAACTTCTCAGCACATGGCCTAGGATTATGAGGCTTGAGAAATAGTGGCCACAAACATATTTGGGAGACTTGGAATTGTAGGACTAGAATGGAACCTAGAAAAGTAATAGGAGTTTGGAAAATACGGTCAGAGACCAGAAACTAGTCAATGCCCTAAGAACCGTGGTAAGAAAGTAGTGTTAGTATTTAAGGAGCTTGGGTTGGGTGTTTTATCTTTTCACTGAGCTTTTTGGTCCTTTCTTGTGGGCTCACCCACCAAGGTCATTTAAGTTCAAAATTAGCTGGAGCTCTTGCCGCCTAGCTTGTCACTGATAGAATTGGGGACAGAAGTGAAGTGGATTGGAGACCTAAGTCATCCTCACTGCCTTAGTCACTGTTGGATTGCTGTGAAGAGACATCATGACCACAGCAACTCATATAAAAGAAACCATTTAATTGTGGGCTTGCTTACAATTTAAGAGGGCTAGTCTATTATCATATTGGGTCCCCGTGGGCCTGTATTAATACCATAAAGCAAAAATGCATTCAGTCTAATTTCACAGGCCCCCATAGTCTTTCACAGTCTCAAGACTGCTTAAAAGTCCAGTGTTTCTTCTGAGATTCATGGCAGTCTCTTAACTGTAACCCTCTATAGAATCAAAATGAAAAAGCAGATCATATACTTCCAACTACACTGGCACAGAATATACATTAATATTCCGAAAGGGAGGAAAGGGAGCATAGTGCAGAAACCCTGGGCCAAAGTGAGACCAAAAACAGCTGGGCAGACTCCAAACCCTGCATCTCCGTGTCTCATATCAAAGCACCCTTTCAGCTTTGTTGACTGCAACACACTTCTCTCTTGGGCTGACTCCTCTCCCTGTCGGTGGCTTCCTCGGTGGGTGCTGCAGTACTTTGGCGTCTCCAGCACAATCCAGGCTTCACTTCACAGGTCTTGTAATGGTCTCTTTGGGCCTCCATGCAGGGATACCTCTGACACATGCCTGGCCTCAGTGTCTTTCTTCAGCCAAGAAGGGAGCTTCCACACTCCTTTCTCGTATCCTTAAGCCCAAAGCCAGAACTACGTGGTGGAAGCTGCCAAGTCCTGTTGCTTGCTGGAGCAGGAACCTGGCTCCCTGATTCAAATATATTTTGTCAGCCTTCTATTGGTGCTTTCCTTTACTGCTTAAGCCTTTTTTTTTTTTTTTTTTTTTTTTTAATTCATTTCTCAAGTTGGAAGCTTAGCTGGATAGGGTCTTGCCCTGGGGTCACCATTCCCTTTATTCCATTTAGCATCAAGCTTTTCTGTGTAGACCAGAGTAGCCTGGAACTCACAGACATCCTCCTGTCTCTGCCTCACAAGTGCTGAACTAAGGGAGTGCACCACCATGCTCAGCACTTTTAATTTCAATGCTCTTTTTCTAACTCTCAAAAAAGAGGCTAGAGATAGAGGTGTTCCTCCATCTAGGTTGAATTGAAAGATCTCAATTGAAAACACATATGATATTGGGGGTGATAAAGAATCGTGAGTCTCCGGCACCCTTTGGGTGCTCGTGTATCCTCTGTTGTTGTTGTAATAATCCATCACACAGCAGCTACTTCTCCTCTCTCCTGACATAAGGAACGTGAATGATATGAGCTTGCCTGTACTTAGCTGCTTCCTTAGCATATGTTGTTTATTTTTAAATAGAGCAGAAAAGTGTAATGTTGTTTGTTAGTAAAGCTTATTAAATCAGCAGAAGTGCTAGGGATACAGCTCGGTGATAGTGTGCTTGCATAGCCTGCAGAAGGCCCTGGTTTCAAACCCCACAATGCCAGATAGAGGGTTTTGTTGTTCCATTTCATGTTTATGATGCAAAATAACTAGAAGATTTCTGAAATACTTTGTTGTCAACTCCTGGAATCTGACTCAAGGTTTTTCATCATTATTTTGTACCTTTGTCCCGAGTGAGGGAATTTGTATGTAGGCATTTGATACCTTTTCTGTTGCTGGCTCCTAACAGTTACCACCTCTGGTATTTAAGGAGCACTGGTGGCTCCTGTGCTTGAGTTGTAGGATGTATCCCTGTGCCTGAGTGTCTTGGTCAGGAGAAGGCTTCAGGAGTGTTAGGAGTGCTTCCTTTCTGCTGCTTTAGCTTAGCCCCAGGGCCAGTTAGCCAAAGCTGGGGGCAAGAATGCAGAAGAATGAAATTTGCCTCGGCTGGTTTCTAGATGGGTTTTGGGCAAATGGAAGAGTCAGGTAAATATTGGGCTTCTGTAATACGAGGGCGTCTCAGCATTTGCCGAGGACCAGCTCTTCCCTTCCCTTCCCTTCCCTTCCCTTCCCTTCCCTTCCCTTCCCTTCCCTTCCCTTCCCTTCCCTTCCCTTCCCTTCCCTTTCTCCTTCTCCTTCCAAGAGAAGATCCTGAGCCTCCTGTTCACTAGAAAAATCAGTGGCCGATAGTCCTAGTTACCAGACAAGGCCTTGTAAACAGAACCTGTCTTTGAATGGGGACAGGGAAGGGGGCAACTACGTGAGGTCAGCTCAGAATTAAAATGCTCCACACCCTGTGGACACCTGGTGGCCATCCTCCTTTGAGGGCTCTGGGTTCTTCGTACTTGTGTCAGGAACATCAAGTAATTAATGTCATAGAGACGTACACGCATTGAGTCGGTTTTGTCACTACTCTTTTGTCATGTTTTATTTATGTGAATGGATTTGGTCCACTGAGTAACATGAGATGGATAGTAGGTGAGGAGGCTATGGCAGAGATTGGTGTCTTGCCCAAGAACACAAGAGCCAGGGATCAGCCCTAAACACTGTCTCCAAAGTCCATTCCTTGAGAAGCACCAAGCTTATAATTATCTTCATTTATGGCCGTTCATTTTTACCCTGAGCTCTGGGAAGATCTCAGGCGGGAGTCGATGGGAGTCACTTCCGGCAGAGTTGGAATCCTCTTCAGTGTGTCTCAGCTTTACGATTGCTCCTCAGTCACCCTCCCTCCCTCCCTCCCTCCCTTTCTCTTGTAGTGCTGAGGAATGTAAGCAAGTTTGCTGGGCCTTGCGAGACTTCACCAGGTTGTTTCGATAGCTCAAGCTCACACTCCTGCACTGTGCCTGTCGTCCAGGTGAGTTGTGTTTGCTTCTGGTTCTTTCTGGGCTGCTGGGGAGGCTTCAGAACTTAGTGTTCAACTATCTCAGCAGCTGCCATGTTCAGGACCCTGGTTGTCTTGGGTCGGGGCAGGCACATTATCAGTGTATCCGGATACCGTTTTCCACTCCATAGTCAGTAACAGTTGCAGAAGGCACCGGAAAAATTTCTTCCCTCATAGCTGCTTCTATCCTGAAAAGTGTGTAGTAACAATCAAGTCAGTACTTCTTAACCTCCGCTGCTTTGCTGAGGACAATGGTGAGCATAATTCCTGGCACCAGTCTTCTAAGACAGACATGCCAGAAATAATGTGTGATCAACTTATTCTCCTGTTTGTGACTGAGATGCCAGGAAGGTGTAGGAAAGCAGCGGTCCCTCTAGCTGTCTCCTCATGGTCAGCTTTCTGTGTGTGTCCCTTCTGATTCTGAAGCAAAGGAAGACACTCAGCTAAGGAAAGGGATGACTGAGTGGTAAAATTTGCTTGCCATTTTATTGCTTATGTAAAGAAAGGCAATTCTCTAAGCCTACCCTTTGACATCGTAAAAAGCATGTATTGTCCCACCCAGTAGGCAATCTTCTGAATCAGTGGTACTTACTGGTTGTTTCTGTAATAAACGCACTAACAGGTACCATTCCTGTGTTGAAGTCCTCACTGTTAGCCTCTGTAATAGATGATACATCTGTTCAGTACTCTTTCCCTAGAGTTTAAACCATTGTTAGTAAACAAAACCCTCTTTCATAACTAAATCTTACATGGAGACCCAATACTTAAGAGACTAAAGTCGAGCTTTCCTGGTGGTTTATTTAGCATGGAAGGCGCGAATCTGTTGGTTGCTCCACGCTTTACATCATCATCAGTGTCTGCAGCTCAGTGCCGGGGTCATGCTGCAGGCAGTGTTTTAGGGAAGTTGATGTTGCCTTGAAACTAACTGCAAGCTGGGGAAAGCAAATCTTTGGTTGGGCTTGCTTGTTAAGGAGGGTTCTGTAGCAGCGTCCACAGAGAGTGCCTGAGCAAACAGCGCTGCGCTGCCTCGGGCTGGCTTTCAGTGTCTCAGTGTCTTCTGGCCCAGCCACCTACTGTCTCTTCTCTTTCGCCAGGAATGTCTGTTTTTATTAGAAGACAGGAAGAAAACAACCCAGACTGTGTCCCACAATCAGAAACCTCCATTGTGGCAGCCGGGCCTTCGCTGCTGCCAGACAGGGAGAACCTTCCATCTCCCGAGCCATCCTGAGGAGCCCGTTTGGGGTGTGAGGGAGAAACAGCGCGGTTTTTAAAGATGGCTGCAGCCTGTCCGGCGTGGTGGGACAAGAACTAGTTTCCTGGTGAACTTCTTCTTTCTAAAAGGAAAAATAATTTAAGGAAATTTTAAAAAGAAAAAAAAAAGGAAAGCTGAGATGTGACCAGAACTGTGACACTCACCTGGTAGCAGATGACGCACACACTGATAGACACACACCAGCATGCAGGGCGCACACAGACATACACATGCCAGCGAGAACTGTCTGAGACAGGCACCCTCCCAAGGGAAACGCGGGGGTTCGAATGAGGGACACAGCTACAATTGGAATTGAAAAGCAGGCCATCCCTCCTCTGGTCTCCTTCCTTTAAACACGGTGAACAGACGGAGCATACGCACACCCCAGCTGCCCCACCTCTAGAGACGGCCAGACAAGGAGCCTGGTCCGCTTTATGTCACGGTCAGGGATGATGGAACTCGCCAGGGCCAAAGTTGCTATTCATGTGGAGCCCAGCCCTGACCCTGTTGAGTTGCTGGGTCCACTCCAGTTCACATGAGTTGTCATCAGCCTTGGGAGAAAATCCAAAGCTGGGGCGGGTGGAGAGGACACAGATGTGCATTCAATCTTTGTTCTTCTTAGTGAATTACTCATCCACAGACATAGGAGGGGGCAAGAAACAAAAAGAAGGTATGGAGGAAATGTATTTACAGGACTACTGTATTTTGCTAAAAAGTGTGAAAATTAATTGACTTCTTGGGACATGAGGCTAGAGTGGGAAACCCAGAGCAGATCTTAATGAGGGAGTGTGGTCTTGCATTGCCATTACATTACAAGGGCACTGTTCTGTCCTGTGGTGTAGCCATCTCAAGAATAAATCAACAGCACCAAAAAAAAGAAAAAAGAAAAAAAGACAGAAAAAAATAAAAACCAATTTTTAAAATTTTACCAGTCTGTGTTTTTCTTTGCAGTCACTCGCCTTCCTGCCTCACAAAGATGTGGCTAACCCACCTATGTGTTTTAAAGGGCAGGCCCGCCTTCGGTGTCAGGCCCTTCAAGGGACTGCTGGTTCTTTGTGAAGGAATGAGCCGCGTGCGCGCGCGCACACACACACACACACACACACACACACACACACACACACACACACGATACACCTGTGAAGTCATCTCCGTAGCTAGAAGGGTAGTGGACACACTAGTGATGCATCTGTGAGTGGGAGGGCTCACATGCACACATCATGGAGGCCAGAGGAAGGGCATTTCTTGGCCCTCTGTACTTAAAACCACCAATAAAACCTCATAGGGCTGGGCCCTGGTGACACAGTCCTTTAATCCCAACACTTGGGAGGTGATCTGGCCAGCCTGGTCTACAGAGCCAGCTCCAAGACAGCCAGGTCTATATGGTAAAACCTGGTCTCAAAACAAACAAAAAAACTCGCAGGCCTTGGAGGTAAAAATCTAACAACCAAGTAAGTATCTTGGATGTAGTCCTGAAACCAAAAGGGTAGGAAAGAGTTAACTAAAGTGTTAGTGGGAAGATTTCTTTCCTGAGACAGGGTCTCACTGGCCTCAGAATGGCTTTGACCTCCTTATTGTGTTCTCCTAAAGTGCTAGGAGAGTGAGAGAGAGAGAGGAGAGAGAGAGTGTGTGTGTGTGTGTGTGTGTGTGTGCGCGTGTGCGCGCACGCGCGCGTTCCAAACCTGGTTCTGGATTCTTTAACTGTTTCTTGGTAGCGCTGGAAATGGCGCTCAAGGCTTCCCTTGGAAAGCACACATCCTGTAGCTGAGCCTACATCCCCAACCTCTCTTTTTATTTTCTTAAACTGTATTATTGTGTGTGTATGATGTGGGGCCACACCCATGCCACTGAGTACATGTGGAGGTCAGAGGCTGACTTTGTGAAGTCTGTTCTCTCCTTCCAAGCTCGGGTCACGCTTGAACACGGTGCTTTTACTTCCCAAGCATCTCAGTTCATTTAGTTTTTAAACATGTGCATAGACCATACAACCATGTGAAAAGCTCCTCGGCGCTCATAATAGGAAATGAAAATGAGATACTGGTTTTCACCTGTCACATTAACAAACATCACATTTGAAAGTATACCCTATTGGTGAGATTCCTAAATATTCATGTCATTTGTGCCAGTATCTAGCAAACGTGAAGAGGCAAACATGTGCAAACCTAGCCTTTTTCGCTACATTATTTTGTCTGTGTTTATGTGATGGGGGAGGGGCAGGTGTAGCACAGCACGGGAGGCAGATGAGAGGACATTCCTGGGATCAAGCATGTTCACATGTTCACTGGCCGAGCCGCCTCTGGCTCTCACTGTTATCTTACCAGCCAGTGCTGGACACTCGAATACTCGTTAATCAGTAGTCAGATTCCAATCAAGCCTGGGGGCAGGGGGACTCCAGAATCTAACCCCAGCAGTAAGCAAAGTATGTCACCCAACAGGCGTAATCGGAGACAGTGCTGTTTGGTCATTATTGAGAATAAAGTTGCTCTGATGGCCTTACAACTATGAACATTAGATTGTGTGTGGCTGCTGTATATGTGTTCGTGTGGCTGTGTGTACACATTTGGAAGCCAGTGGTGGACATAGTCTCCCTCATTCTTTGAGACCGGGTGTTACAGAACCTGGGCCTCACTGATTGGCTAGACTGGCTGGCCAGTGAGCTCTGGGGATTCCCTTGTTCTACCTCCCAGTGACCACATACATATACCTTAGTGTAACGAGTAGGGTTTTTCTGCCTGCTGCCTGGTCTTGTCCCACCGTCTCGCCAGCCCCAATTAACACACTGAGACTCTGTGTTAGATATAATTCTGTTGGCCAGTTACTTATTTCTTATCGGCTAGCTCTGTCTTAAGTATTAACCCATTTCTATGTATTTCCACGTGGTCTTACCGAGAGCAGAGGAATGGCGGTTCTGCTTTCTCCAGGCTCTCCATTTCGACTCTTCCTTACTCCTTTCTATTTTCTCCTTATCTCCTAGCCCCTCCTATCTTCCTTTTCTATTAGCCAACAGTGCTTTATTCATTAACCAGCATGAGAAACATTTAAAGAATGACATCTCCCATCACCTTAGTGTCTTTTTTTTTTTTGGTAACATGGGTGTTGGGGATTCAAAGTTGAATCCTCTAAGCACTATACTGACAAGACATCTCTCTAGCCCCATAAACTGGGTATTTGATTTAAAAAAAAAAAAAATTAAAAAAAAAAGCTTTAAAGGAAATTTTTTTCTTTAATAGCTGGGGATTTAGCTCAGTGGTAGATCACATCCTTGGTGTCCCCCAAAATGTTTTTAGGAGAATACATGCTGGATATTTATACATGAAATGTTATTTCTAGTATTCAAAATAACAGTAAGGAGCCAGATGGGGGTTGCAGTGAGAAAATAAAAGAATTGGACTAGAAGATTATTCCTGTGAGCCAGACTCCAGGAATGAGCCACCAATTTGCATGTAAATCCTAACGTTAGTAGCACATGCATGAAGACATGTTCTGTTCTTGTTGGCAGGCTGTCCCAGACTGGCTTTGAACTGCCCAGCTTCCTGGCTTAGCCTCCTCAGTGACAGGGTTATAGGTATGAGCGCCATACCCAGCTAAACCTTCCTCATTTGAATGTGTGTTACAGAGGATCAAACCTATGGCCCGTGCCTTGTTAAGCAAGCTACCACTGAGCTACATCCCCAGCCGTTAGGCTCATACATTAGGCTGTTAGGCTCATACATTAGGAGACAGTCAAGGATAGAGGATCGGGGTTTAAGGCCAGCCTGGTCTCAAAAGGAAAAACGGATCCCAGATTTTGATGGTTTGAAGTGTGGCTAGAATCCCAGTTACTCCTTTCTCATTCTTCTGGGAAAGTTTGGGCAGTTTTTAGGCAACATACATTTAAAATTCCACGTCTGCTTCCTTGAAGCAGAGCCAGCCAGGGGTCTGTGAAGGCCCAGCAGGCTCCCTGACCAGAAGGCAGGCTCTCCCCAACCCCTGTGCCAGGCACCCCACCCCTCCCCACTGGAGATCGGGTACTGAGAACAAGGCCAACCGGCTAGAACAGAAGAGCTGCTAGCCCTGGACACAGTCAGGAAATGGACAAATCTGCTTTTTAACATTTATTAATCCAAAAATATATTAAATTCTACTTTCTACCCCAGCTTCTTAAACCCTGAAGGAGGGCAGCTGCCAGCCCCAAGTATCTAGTGACATCCTCGTCAGAAGGAGGATGAGAAAGGCTCAACCTAGGGAACGCCATCCGTCCCATTCTCTACGGGAGCCCCACCAACACTCCTTGGCGCTTTTTGCTAGAGGAATTGGGGAAAATATAAAAGTTGGCTACCCTGGGGTAATTGGACCTGTGTATCTAGACCCCAGGCTAGCGATGTTCCCTCCCTCCAACTAGGGCTGTTGGCTACATTTCTTCAGAGCCAAACATTAGATAAATCACTGCAAGACCATGCTCAAATGGAATTTTAGGGAGAATGTGACCTGCGGCCTCTCTTCTATGTCCTTTTTGGGCCGACTCAGAGGTAGAACCCTGCAGCCAAGCCAGGCCTGCTGGGGCCACTACATTGCCATGTCAATCTCCACAGCTGCCCCAGGAAGCCCAGGCCAGCCGTTACCTGTAGCCTTGTTATTGCATGCCAACTGGGTGCATGGGCCAGGGCCCTTGCCCAGCACCAAGGCCTGCCATAGGAGGGGCCTGGACCATGGGCTGCAAGCGTTGCTGGGACTGCCAGATGTGGTGCAGCTCCTTGAACTGCTCCACCATGTGGTCTTTGAGGTCCGGGTTGGAGATCTGCAGACGGATGCTGTCTGCTGACCAGGAAAGCTCCCCCGAGAACATCTCCAATAGCAACCGGGCTGCAACCGGTACCACCTGGGGAGCAAAGGAAAGACAGGGCATGGAGAGCTGTGGCAGGGCTGTTCAATCTAGCTGGGCATGAAGACATCCAGAGGCAGATAGTGGACTGCCTCCTCCAGCCCTAGCCACCAAATCTTCATGGCCCAGAGGGCCCCGTCTCTATCCTGGGTCAAGGTTCCAGCCCCATGTCTCCTAATAACCAAGCTGCAGCAGAGCTGGCCAGGGGCATACCTGTACAGTAATGAGCTTCTTCTCTCGGGGTTTGAGGTCCGGCCATTCTTCTCCAAAGCAGAAGAAGATCTCAAAAGGTGGTGGAATGTTGGTCTGACCCTTCTGGAACAGGATGAGTTCTGCATCAAGATTAAGGCCTCTAGTTAGAGGTGAGGACCCTATCCCAAGTGAGGGACAGCCAGGAGGAGCATGGAAAGGACCTCACCGTTGAGAAACTGCTCTAGGCTGAAGAGTTTTGTCTTGACTTCCCGCTGGATGGGGTTGGGGTGTGAGCCATGGGCTAAGGCACAGGGCCCACTCCAGAACACCTTACACTGGCACAGACGGATGGCATACAGGTCCTGGCCCTGCAGCTGGAGGATGAGCCCACGGTCCAGGACATCCAGCAGCTGGTTTGTATAGAAACGCTGCTTCGCGCTGGGGATGTCCTCTGGGCTAGGGAAGCGCACTTGCTCCAGGCTCACAGGGCCGAAGAGTTCCACTTGCTCCTGGGTAGCTTCTAGCTGGCTATAGAAGAGCCTACAGCCTTGTGGGTTGCTGATGGTAAGGGCACAGGGTGGACGACCGCGATACTGGAACTTGATCTCCAGGTCAGTCACTGTGGAGCAGAGCGTCAGGTTGCCCAGGCTGTGAGCCCAACCTCACCAGCCTGCCCAGTTTATCCCTGACCCAGGAAGACTGGCCTGTCAACCCTGTGCCGTCCCCATTCACTGCTCTGCCCTGCCGACCTACCCAGCCCACCAGAGTTCTTACAAGGCAGCATGTGGGGGCTGATCAGCAGGTCAGGCAAGAGTTGTTCTGTAGGGGGCTGGCTGGAAGCCAGCGGCCCAGGCTCCAGGTCCTCAGGGAGAAGCTGCCCGAAGCCAGCATGATTTCCAGAGGGATGGGCCAGGAGATTTGGATCTGGGGCAGGGGGACCCAGCCCTGCAGATGGCTGGAGAGCAGGTGGCCATTTGACGCCTTCTTTGGGTAAGGAGTAGGGTGCTATGGGGGGCCCGGGTAGAACAGGTTCTGCAGAGGATGGGGAACACAGCTGTTAGTGTCTCCTCCAAGAACTCTCCCAGACCTGACTCCCAGACTTGCCTCCCCCAGCACCCTCCCAAGTACCTAGGATGCCTATCACTTATAGTAGACACCAGCACCCCGCATCCCTCACCCCCCATCCCTCACCCTCCATCCCTCACCCCCCATCCCTCACCCCCATCCCTCACCCCCCATCCCTCACCCCATCCCTCACCCCCATCCCTCACCCCCCATCCCTCACCCCCCATCCCTCACCCTCATCCCTCACCCCCATCCCTCACTCCCATCCCTCATCCCCCATCCCTCACCCCCATCCCTCACCCCGCATCCCTCACCCCCCATCCCTCACCCTCCATCCCTCACCCTCCCACCCCAGGCAAACACACCACCTCCCAGCCCCACCTGTGATGCTCAGGCCTGGCAGCATTCTCTGGAGCTGAAGGGAAGACACAGGAAAAGGAGGAGGGAAGGCAGGATAGGTTATTAAATTGGTGGGATGCTGAGGAAACCGTGCTCGACAAACACGCCAATCCCCCCAGCTTCAGTCCAGCGAAGACCAGAGCCCTCTGCTGGTCCCAGACCTGTGGTCCTCGGCAGGTCATGAAAGCTGTGGTTGTCCCCACTTCCAAATGCACGCTCTGCAGGCAGTTGTGCCCACGAGACTAACTGTGGTGGAGGTCACAGACACGCTGTAACAACATAGCCCTAGGAGGGACAAGACGGGCGGGCTCTGTTCTTCTGAGTCAAAGGACGGCCCAAAGAACTAGAGAGGACAGAGGGCGCCAAAGGAAGGGCCAGCCCAGCCAGTTTAGTGTGGGAGCTTGGTGAGTACAGCCCCTCTTCCCACCACGCAGCCCCACACACCTCCTCCTCTTCCTCCTCCTCCTCTTCTCCAGGAGCGTAATCATCAATGGGCTGGGATTCTGCATTTTGAGAGACACAGCAAGACAGGGTGTCAGTGGCAAGACAGGACGCAGGCCAGGCTGAGGCCCCATCTGAACAGCCAGAGAAGTTGCCCCAATCTCCTGGGGTTCCCTGATTCACAAAGCTGCCCAAGTATGGATGAGTCAAAGGACCCAGCATCGAGAAGCAGTAGAGAAAGATCTCCCCAGAAGCCAAGAGCCCTGGGATTATGACCTACACAGCCCCCACAGCACACCCTGGAGCACTTGGCTGGAAGGTCCGTAGGCTCTCTTGCACCCAGAGGCCACAGCTTTCCAGATGGTCACACAGGGCCGAACATCATACCTGTGGGGGCAGGGCCATTGGAGCAGACCTCGTAGATCTTGTAGGGCTGGGGTGGCATGTCTCGAGGGCCGTCATAGATCAGACGGAAGTCACGGCTTTTGTTAAGGGCGCAGCGCAGGTTGGCCTTCCACTTGGCTGGGTCAGCCTCGTCCACCCCCTCAGTGTACTTCCCTGTCTCTTTAGCCCAGGCCTATGGAAGGAAAAGAGGGTTGCGGATTGTAGGGAACTATACCTGACACTGATGCCCCAGCAAGTCTCTTGTCCTGCAGGAGTCACTGCTGAGAATTTTGGCCATTAGGCTAACCCTTGCTCAGGCATTGCTTGTATTAGGTGGATATGACCAAGCCTTGTCCAGCCCTCAGAGTTCAAGCAAGCTCAGTGGATTCTGTGTGCTTCTCGATGCTGCTAGGATGGTCAACAGGTACAATCTCAAAGGAACGCAAGAAAATATGGTAGGGAAGAACTGGTGACTTGGAGCCAGGCTGGGTCTGCAGCCAGGCAGGCCAGATCAAGCTCCCTCTGCTTTGGACCCTCCTTGACAGTCCCTGGGAAGACTCAAGGAGTCACAGCTGTGCCTGCTGTAGGTATGCTTCAGTGATTGGTGTTTTATTCTTATTCTTTTGAGACAGGGCCTCATGTAGTCCAGGCTAATTGCAAACTTGCTAAATAGCTGAGGATGACTTCGAACTCTTGATCCCCCTGTCTCCATCTCCCAAGTGCTGGTATTAGAGGCCCAGCTGTCGTCATTGTCGTCATCATCATTGTGTTAAGGGTGGATCATGGAGCCTCACATGCTAAGCACATTCTCATTACCACTGACCCTCAGCCTCCAACTGGTCTTACTATTTTGCATGGCAATCTGGTGATGTCAGGATTACAAGTGTTTCTTCTCTTTAAACTAACATTTACTTTTGATAGAATTGTACAGAATACAGGAATATCCACACAAATTGTGGTAAGAATCAAGTATAAAAGGTAAAATATATGATTTCAAAGATTTTAGAATCAGCACCTCTTTGGTCTAACAATTTTTAACTCAGGACTACAGACCTAAACCAACCGTTAAGACAAAGGGTAGAATTATGGTTTTCCCTAACAGAGAAGTACAGCCTGAAATGTCCAAAAACTGAGAGTAGGTAAGTTATACCGAACGAATCGTTCTGGTGGCTACACAACTGTCACAAAAAGTGATGCAGATGCATGTTGGAAAAGAAAGCTAACCCTGATGTTGGGTGGAAAGATGCAGGCTGTAAATCAGTATGTGTGGGCCAGCAAAGTGGCTCTACACATAAAGGCACTTGCCACTATGTTTGTAGTGTCTGACAACCTGAGTTTGATCCCTGGACTTCATATTGTGGGAGGAGAAAACCGACTCTTTGTTTGTTTATTTGGGTTTGGGGGGGGGTGGTTTCAAGACAGTGTTTCTCTGGAGCTTTGGAGCCTGTCCTGGAACTCACTCTGTAGACCAGAGTGGCCTTGAACTCACAGAGCTCTGCCTCCTGAGTGCTGGGATTAAAGGTGTGTGCCACCACTACCTGGCTCTAGTACCAACTCTTGCAAGTTGTCCTCTGACCTCTGCACACGTGCCGTGGTACCTGCACAGCCCCCATACATAAGTAAATAAATAAGAAAAGCTGAAAGCATACGTGTGGACTGGGTGTCTTGGCACACATCTGTCATCCAAGCACTTCAGAGATGAGGGCAGAAGGGTCATAAGTTTAAGGTCGGAATCAGCCACGTATCAAGTTGGAGGCCAGCCTGGGCTATGTAAGACTATTTCAAGAAATATAATAAACAAAGTATAGGGTGGGGCTGTCCCTAGTGACAGAAAGTGCATAGCATGAGCAAGGCTGGCCTTCTTCCCCACCATGAAGATTTCTTTGAAAAGCCAGCTCGGCATGGTGGTACATGCTCGGCATTCCAAGACACTGGAGGCATCGCCACCAGTATAGGGCCAGTTTAAACTACATAGTGAGTTCCAGATCAACCAAGACTACACCGTGAGACCCTCTCTCAAAATAGAACACATTTCAACATTTTTAAATGTGACTATATTCCTATTTTGCTTATCATAACACCCATACAGGGACCTTAAGACATTGCAATTATATATAACTATTGCAGTAAGGCCTGTCCACCATTAGGGTTAGAGATTGTTGGACATGGTGATACATGCTTATAATCTCAGCACTTGGGGGGAGGTGCTGAGGCAGGAGGATGGCAAGTTCAAGGCCAGCCTTGACAACAACAGAGAGTCTGGCCAGCTGGGCATTATAAACTCAAAACCCAGACCAAAACTAAAAGATTTGATGTCTAAAAGCTGAGTTGCTGGCTTCACTTAGTTCACGCATGTACTAAATGTTTACGCCTGTGTAACGGTGAGTCAAGAGCAAGGAGCATTACAAGGAGTTGCAGGAAGGCCTCCCAGAGATCTTCCATCCTCACCTTGCTCTAGGCTACAGTGTAGAAGAGGTGATCCTGTGTCCAAGCCTAGGCATGTGTGCCACGGTAGCTGGCAGAGTGGACAGCCTCCAGGAGATGGCTGTGCGCCTCTCTGCTGGGGAGAGGCTGTCTAGACAGCACCTTATCTGAGGCTTACCTTGAAGATGGTGTTGTCTCCATCCTGGCTGGGACCATGCCGTGTGGCATGTCGCCAGGGGATGTAGAAGAGCTTCCTTTCCCCGTTGACCCACTGAAGCCCTGGGTACTGGCAACTGTTCACTTGGGCCACCAACCAGGGCTTCAGCCTCACGCGTCGGGGTGGTGGGGGAACCCCCGGGGCTGGCTGGTTCATGGTAAAGGGCTCTGCAGGAGAAAGCAAAGCTGAGCTCAGCAGATTCACAGTGAGACGCTCCATGCCCTGGGTGGAGGAGTCATGGGCTCTCTCTCCAGTCCGTTTAGGTGTCTGAGGTCAAACCTGCCTTCCAACCCTCAGCTTTCTTGTCCCAGACTCACTCAAGCTGTGACTGCTGTTAGGGGAAAGCGAGATTTCTGTGCTAGAGGGTGCTGTGGGCCCCTTCCTTCAACGAACCTTCCTTCCTGTTTCGAGGTGCCAGTTGTCCCACCCATCACTCTGAAGTCACAGCACAGTCAAAGCTGGCCCCGTGCATGCAGGTGGGCTAACAGGGGTGGCAAGCACAGTTCTCTGGGGTTGGCTAGTCCACCTTGCCTTAACCCTCCTGCTCCTGCTCAGCCTTTCCAAACTCTGCAGTTCACTGGGACTCCTTCCCCTGAACTGCCTTTCCCCATCCCAGTAAATCCTCCACACTAGAATTCTAGCTCAGGCTTCTAACAGCGGCCGGCTTTAGACAGAAGCAGACTGGGGATGGGTTGGGGGTGAGTTCACACCCAGCTGGCCGAGCTCTGCTGTTGGGCCTTTTGGCTAAGATCACTGGTCCTCCTCCTCAGTTTCTCTCAGGGATGACGCTTTCTCCCCCCGACCTCTTTATAGAAACCCCATTAATCCATTCAAACGACACGGAGCACCCAGCTTAGATGGCACCACTCTGACACCATCGGTGACCCAGCTTTTGGTCCCTGCTCCTTTCCTCACATTCGTTCAGGCTTAGAAGCCTCTAGAGCAGTGGTTCTCAACCTTCCTAACGCTGCAAGTCTTATCACAGTTCCTCACGTGTGGTGACCCCAACCGTGAAATTATTCTCATTGCTGCTTCACAACTGTAATTTTGCTACTGTTATGAATCATGATGTAAATATCTGATGTGTGACCCCTGTGAAAGGGTCATTTGATCTCCAAAGAGGTCACGCCCCACAGGTTGAGAAATACTGCTCTAGTGTTCACAGACCTGTGTGTCACACACTCACGGTGGCAGGAAGTACAGGCCTAACAGCTGCCCACTGAAGGCAGGCCCCTGGGCAGGCCACAGTCTGTTTCACTAGGGTTAGGTCCACAGGACACGTGAAAGCCTGGTGCCTTCCCTCTGCCCCCTCACTTAGAACAGTCTAGTGCTCCCCCTTGTCCTCTTCAGTCCTGGGACCCTCTCTTGTCCGTGCCCTTAGTCTTGAACACTTGGACCAAGGGGCAGAGGCAGAAAAGAGGGAGGCCCCTGTGCCAGCACTCGTTGCTCAGAGAGGAAGCCACAGAACAAAACTGAGCAGGCTTGCCGGAGTTTGCAACCTCAGCTGCCCCTGCAGCTCAGTATCTTTTGGGTTGTGGCGGCCACATCCTGGCTAGCAGAGTGTCGCTCTGCAGGCTTCAGGGCAATGCATGGCTCAGATGTCAGTGACCCGTGAACAGTAATGCCAGCTCTGGACTGGGAGGGTGGAAAGGCTCCCAGCCCTGCCCCCAAGCTTAAGAAGACAGCGGCTTAGTTCCTCTTTCTGCACCAGCCCCCACCCTGACCTAAGGGAAATGAAAGTGGCCCTGATGGGACAACTCAGAAATCTGACTCATGGGGCTGACTTGTGGGCTGATGGAGGGAGGGGACATAGAGAAAATTCGTGAGAGTGTCTGCAGCCTCCCCCATATTCTCAAGATCATTCCATCTCTCGAGCCTACTGGCAATCACCTGTGTCTTTACTTATAGCTCTCAAGAAGCTGGAACAGTTCTGACTGTGAGAAAGTAGATACCAGATAGGCGAGTTCCCTAAAGGCCCCCTCCCCCCACAGTCCAGCCTGTAGCTGGCCAAGGGTGGGATGAATAGGGTGACCAGAGGGACTCACCCCCCCCCCCTGCTCTGTGCTTCAGGGATCAAGGAGCCAGGGACCAGTACAGCTTTCTGCCCCAGCTCCATGTTTAATTCAGAGAAAGGTTTATAAAACTGTTACTCTGGCCTCAGTGTTAGCAAGTAGCAATCCCTGAGGCATGGAGTAGGGACATAGAGAACAGATCCCCACAGCAAGCCAGGCCACCAGGGCCAAGGTATTCACTTAGCCACAGAAGCTGCTGCCAGCAGCGAGGTCCATAGGATCCTTTCCCTGAGCAGGGCCAAGTTCAACATCCATCCCCCCCCCCCCAAACTCCGTTCTCCCGAAGAGAAGGCTCAGATCCGAGTCTGATCCTAGATCTGTCAGTTCTCAGTTCCAGTGTCTAACCATAGCTACCTTCCCCTGGGTCTGGAGGCTTGCAGTAAGGTGGATGCAGCACCCAGACTGACATCTGTGGCTATCAGCCCTGTAGAGGAAAACCACCGTCTTCCATGGAAGAGTCAAAATGGGTATAGAGCGCTGAAAACCCGAGGAAGCACCCCACATATAATTAGGCTCTGACGCATCCTGATAAGCAGCTTTTGAATCCCAGCTGGGGTGGAGAGTCCCCACAGCTCACCCCAGGGGCCTGGAGTCCCAGGAGAGGCCACCTGGGCAGTCAGGTCACTGAGGGCTCTCGAGGGCTGGTGGGAAGGTGCCGCCACAACGGAAGGGTTAGAGGCAGAACTTCAAACCCCTCCTGTCTCTCGGATTGCCTGGTTCTAAGCCTCACGCCCAGTTCAAGGAACTTGCGAGGGGTTACCTGCATCACACATGAGCCTAAGCCCCGCCCTCCCAGGTGAGCGACACTCCCGGGGCCCTGCCCCTTCAGAGTCCAGACAGGCTGAGATTCTGGGGCAGCAGGTGCGGCAGGAAGAACCCTCTCTCAGCTTCCTCCCAGGGGCAAGTTGGGGAGAAGGCCAGAGTGCGAGGGAAAGCCCCGAAGCAGCACTTTAGTTAAAAGCGGTGGTTTCCTACCTCTTTCCTAGTCCTAAACCGGGAGCTTAAGGAGTAGGGACGGATTCTGTGCCACAAGGTCGTCACCCGAGGGACCCCAGCTTCTCCAGCCTCCTCCGTCAGCCCAGCCTACGTCCTTTCTGGTCCTGTTCACGCATCCCCGCACTGGTATCGAGGCTAGGCGGGTCCCTCCTGCTCATTCCTGCAGGCTCCACCCGGGGCAGAACGCGGGGCTCTCTGGCTCAGCCCCTGAAGTCACCGCAGGGTCTGACTTAGTTCCCGGGCCTCTCCTCTGGCTGGGGACGCCGCGCTCTGCTATGCCATGAGGAGGCCAGGAAAGCGCCCACTTCCACCCCAGCTCCTAGGTACCGCCTCTGGGCCCTTAGGGGCCCAGATCGAGAGACACCTGGGGTCCGGGAGACACCTGCACCGGTTGGATGACAGCCCGGGGCATCTCCCCGCCCGCGCCCGCGTTGCAGCCACACTGCTAACACTTTCGCTCCACTTGCAGATTCTTAGTTGCTTCCTTCCTAAGGCCGTCAAGAAACCAGACCGAGAATTGCGACGCCGATTATTCTTAAGAAAATCGGCGGCCTTCTGGAGCTACGAGCCACTATTTGACACCGTCTCCCCCACAAACCCTGTTGCCACCAATTCCGGTCCTTGGCTTTAAGCTCTTTGGGACCTCAACCTCTTACTCTAAAAGGTGAGGTGTGGAGGACGGGCTGTGCGCCTCGGCCCTTGACCCTAGCGAGGCACGGGAGGATGCGCACTCGTCAATCGTCCCCCGTCCCTAGCCTCTCGGGGCTTTCCCGGCGCCTGTGCGACGATGGCGGCCGGAGCCCTGCACCCCGAGCTGGCCGGGTGTGGGGCGCCTTGGAGACAGTGGCGTCGGCGGGGCGCTGCCAGCGATGAGCGTCCACCGTGGAGAAGCGGGATCGCGCCCGCCGGCCCTCCTGGCAGGTGTCCCCGGGGGGCGCAGGCCGCCGTGGGACGAAGCAGTGGCTTCAGTAGCCCGGGACGGTTCCCACCGCCCTCCGGGCGCGCGACCCAGCACAGCCCACAGCTCCCGGACCTACCTGTCTCCGGTGCGCCCGCGGGGAGCCAGGAGCCCCGGGCCGGCACTGCGGCCGGTCCCAGCCCTCACCGAGCTGCGCCTCCCGCGGGGCGCCAAGCCCGCCCCGCACTTCCGCATCGTGACGCCCCCGCCTCGGGCAGGGCCCCGCCCCGCCCTCGCAACCACCCCCGGTCCCCTACACGGATCCGGCCACCGCCCACCGCGAGGAGCGCAGTGCCAGGCCAGGGACCCGGCGCAGACAGCTCGGCGGCCCGCATCGGCTTCCGGCACCTTCGGGAATCTGGAGAGACAGAGTCACGCGTCACGGGTCCCCAACACCCCGTAGCCGGTCCCCACCCAGTCCGCGCCCGCCTGGAGCTGGAGATCCGCCGTGCACAGGCGTCGATGGAGCCACAATTCCGGGCGTTTCGAGTCGACCGAGAGCCCCCTGGTCCTCCGCTTCCTATGGCGACCAAGCCGCAGGCTGCAGAACCCAGAGCCCTCTTCCAGCATACCCTGGGCCACTGTCCCCTTTCAGCCTTAGCTTACACTACCGACTCCGACTCCCCAAGCGGCTGCAGTCCCGCCTCCTTCGCTCCTAACTTCACCATGGGTTTGCCATTTGAACCCCCCCCCACACACACACACACAGACTTCATAAACCGGCCTCAGCTTTTCAAACATCCTGTTCATGCAGGGACATTTGTCACTTGCTGACTCCCACTCTTCAACTTTTGGGTGAACAACACATTATCTGGGAGTCTAAAGTGGTTTTTCTGGATCTACTCCTTGAGTCAGCTTCTGGTTTGTTGTTGCATTTGGTGTTATTTGTTGTTTTGTTGCGGTGATGGGGGGGGCTGTAAATTGAGGGACAACTTCCCAGAGTCCTGGAGATTGAACTCAGGTTGTCTTGGTTTGTGCTTTTATCCAATCGATGATCCATGTCACAGGTCCCAGTTTGTGATTTTAATGTCTGGTTTCCGCTGAAATTCGGCTTGGTGAGGAACCAGTCCTGTCTTGCATTGTTCATGATCTATACTAATTTTTATTTTTCTGTTTGTTACTGATGATGGAGCTTGCACATGTTGGGCAGGTGCACTAATATCTGCCTGCTGGGCCCTCTCATAATTTTTAAAAGGTTATTATGCTTATCTTTTGGAAGTATTTTGAAAGGAAAAAGATATGCTGCCTATGCTGGTCTCCAACTCCTGCAACAAGCAATTCTTCTGGCTCAGATTCCTAGAGTAGCTGAGATTTCAGGTGGAGCATCACAGGCAGCTTAAATATATATGTACATATACATATATATAAGAGAGAGCTTTAATTGCCTATTTATTTTATATATATTTAATTTATCTGTAATTTTACATCTAAATTCTTTTTCATGATTTATTCATTTTCATTTTATATGTATGAGTATTTTCTGTGCGTGTACTTGCATCATGAACATGCATTGCCTGCAGAGACCAGAAGAGAGAGTTGGATCTCTGAAACTGGAGTTAACAGGCTGTTGTGAGCCCATGGGTGGGTGCTGGGAACCGAACCAGGGCCCTTTGCAAGAGCAGCAAGTGCATTAAGCCACTAAGCCACCTCTCCAGCCCTAAAGATATTTTAATAAAGAAATGTTCTGAATTGTAAAATTAAAATTTTATTGAATGTATTCTGTGTGTTTATTGGTGAGTGCACTTGAGTATACACAGGTCTAGGACAACTTACTGGAGTCAGTCAATTTTCCCCTCCACCATATGGGGCCCAGGGTTTAAACTAAGGATGTCAGGCTTGTCAGCAATCACTTTTGCCTGCTGAGCCATGTTGCTTACCAACCTGCCCCCGCTCTTCACTTTTAGATAGCAATATGTGTGTGTGTGTGTGTGTGTGTGTGTGTGTGTGTGTGTGTGTGTATTCTAGACATACTGTTTACCCTTTATATTTTAGAGCCTGGAGTTACTGACAGACACAGTGGTACTATTTAGCTGAATTAAAATTTTGGCTTTTTCATCCACCTCTGCTGCCTTTCCAGGAATGTCTGGATTGGACTTCGATGAGCGAAATGAATCCTGTGGGTTTGTTTTTCCTTCTCTGTGTATATCTCTCCCTCCCGTCACTGGAGCCTGCCTATAAAATAGAAGTCTTACTGTTTCTGCTGAAAACATCACTATCTTACACTGAGCCACACCTCCTTCTGTTTCATAGTCTTTAAATTTAAACCATGTGTGGATCCATTCGTGGACGCACATGCCTAGCTCTGGGCAGTAAAGGCCTAAGCATGTCCGGTTCCAAGCCAGTCTGGACTGCACAGAGAGACCTTTTCTCAAAAAGTAAGTAAATAGTGGAAAGGGGTGTGTGTGAATAAGCTGGTTTTCTTTATTTTTTATTTCATTCCTTCTTTCAAATTCCTCTTATTGCATTTGTGTATTATATTTGTGTATGTGTGTGCATGCATGTGTATATATGTACATGCATGCCAGCGTGTAAGCTACAGCACAAGGGTGGAGGTCAGAGGACAACTTGCAGAAATTGGTTCTCTCCTTCCACCAAGTGGGCTCCCAGAGATAACCAGTACTCTAAGCTGCTGATCTCTCCAACCAACACACCTCTTCCCTCCTGCTCCGATTCTTTCTCATCCCCTCTGAGCTTAATGAGAAGGAGTGACCATGTAGCCTAAGCTGATGTTGAACTGGGAACCCTCTTCTCCCAGCCTCAAGAATGCTAGGATTGATTGCAGGTGCCACCACATCAGGCTTATTTCATTAAAACGGAGAACACCTTAGTCAGACATGGGGGTCCATACCTGTAATCCCAACATGGCAGGGAGTCAGAAGTTCACCGTCTCCCTGACTGTGGTGAACTGGAGCTGCATGAGACCCTGCCTCAAAACAAAAGAAACTTCTGGCTTCCTGTGGGGGCACCTACCTGAATCCCCGATCTTTGGGCTGAAGCAAGAAGATGGCTGAGAGTCTGAGGATGGAAAAACTTCTACAGAATTGAACCTTGTCCTCCACAAAATAAGAATTGCTTTTATCAGAGGTCAGTTCCATGTTGCTGGGTAGGGACTGAACTCAGGACCTGTCATGCTAGGCAAATGTTCTGCCACTGGGCTGTGTGTACCCCAGCTCTCTGGTCAGTTGCATGTAATAGAAAAATATTCTGTTGGTTTAGAAGTGTATCTGGGGTAATGGCCAAGAAAAGCCTTTTTTAATTGTCAAATGTTCCCAACACTGGGCAGTAGTGGCCCACGCCTTTAATACCAGCACTTGGGAGGCAGAGGCAGGTGGATCTCTGTGAGTTTGAAGCCAGTCTGGTCTACAGAGCTAGTTCCAGGACAGGCTCCAAAGCTATAGAGAAACCCTGTCTCGAAAAACCAAAAAGAAAAAAGAAGTTTCCAACACACAAACAGCCCTGATTCCAGGCAATGTGTACCCACCCAGTCCACATTCTCTATTTTCCACTGATGAGGCCCCACCCAGAGCCTTTGAACTTCACCAAAAGCCAGCAGGGGCTATGTGCAGCAGAGGTCCCATCCACAATACACATGCTTGGATAAACCTGTGCATCTCATCCCCTGCCTTCAGAAGGGAGACAGTTTTACTGGACTCACAGCAGGCCATATGATAAACGGGGCCCTGAAAAGATTCTGCTCCATTCAGATCCTGTCGTCTCTTACCAAGGAGCTCGTTAGCCAAGAGCTGCCCTGAGCCAGAGACATGTATTAGAAGGAAGGAAGGGTTGTGCTCATTCAGGGACCAGAGCTCCAACTCTTCTACGACGAAGGATCCTCTAGTTTTCTTGTGCCATCATAAGGCAAGAGGAAGTGAGGCTCTAGGCTGCTGCTTGAAACGAATCTCAGTTCCCTTTGCTCAGTCAGTGTCCTCTGCAGTCCTGGGAGCTCATCAAGGGTCCTGGTGACGCCCCATCAGTGACATGACCCTACCACTCACTTCCTCTGAGCATGTGGACAAAGCCATGGTATGAGTAGACGCACAAAGGGGGTTAATGGAAGCCATGCCACCAGAGGGAACCGAAAGAAACCAGTGTGAGCTACGGAAGGCGGCCAGAAGCTTGAGGAGGAGACGCTAAACAGACTCCCAGCACCTCAAGGCCAGCTGGTTTAGACAGGGCCTGGGAGATGCCAGCTGCCTTTGCCGCCCAACTCCCGTACAGGAACCCCGTTTTCTCTGGCCAGGCTGGTCTGTTTGTCAGACACACCACATTTCTGAGAACTCATGAGCTGGATGTCAGGTTCCTCTGCTCGAGCCCCCTCTCCATCTGTAAAGTGACATGGTCCCATCCCTGTCACAGATGAGGGATGTCAGGGCAGGCACCTTGCACCTGCCAGGATAGGGTGGTAAACAAATTTATTCTGTTCAAAACCACTGTCCTGGAGCTTCCAGTCTGCGGGGTCGATGATTAGGCTGGAGCCCTGTCAGGGAGCACCACAGGGGAGGCTTTGCTTGGGGTCAGTGGAGGACTCAGAGCTGAGACAGATGTAACCCAGCTGCTCTGGCTTGGAACTTTCCAGTGTTTTTATGACCTGTGCTGTGGACACTGGGGTCAGAGCTTCCCCCCCTGTTTTTACTAACTGCTGCCTCCTCTGAGCCTTCTGAGGTATGACTTGGAAGTCCCCCATTCAGCCAGAACTGTCACATGGGCCCCCTTCAGACTTAGATCCTCACCCTGCCAACCCACACTCAGTCTCTCTTCCACAACTGGGGGCCTAGGAAGCTGTGCAGACAGCCACTTCCATCCCAGGGGCTGACTCTCTGCTCCTCTGTCTCACTAAAAAAAGAAACGCTACTTCCCTTTCTCTCCCTTGCTGGTCGTTTCTCCTCTCCCTGATGTCCTGAGTGGACTCCCCTTTGCCTGGGCCTTGGGCTTGCCAGCTCAAGTTGGCCCTAAGCCTTCAGGAATGTTCCTGCCTCTATCCACCCACCCCCAGCATTTCCTGACCTCTGGTAGCTCCCCATTTAAACTCCCACAGCCAAGGTTTCTCATTCCCTTTAATGGTTGTGAGGAAGGTGCCTCACTTTCTTCCGGGCTTCCTATCCAGTCGCCCTCCTTGGGTCACTTAGTGTTAGCAAGGTCCCCACCTTTGGCCTGATTAGAAAGGCACCAGCCTCCA